CTTCCTTGTTGTGGTCAGATCATTTCCTTTTGAGGTTTTGACTCTTGGATCCCTTTCCACTCTGCAAGAGAGAGGAACCTATTAGGATGGTCTGCCTCCAGAGATTTATGGATCTTGGGGGTTTCCTGAGGTCTCTGGGGGATTTTCCAGCTGGTATGGTTGGCACTCCTGTTGAACCTAAAGTCACTGTATGGAATACAGAGGTGACTCAGGCAGTTGACATGATTGCACAAAGCCAGCCCCCTGGTATGTATCTGAGTTGAGGACAATGAAGCAAGATGACAGATGGCTAGAGCACAGGTAAAGGAAAACTCATCAGGAGTCCAACCAAACAGGGCTGAGAGTTCATTATTGAGCCTATTCTGAGGCACTGAAGGTGGCAAAGTGACAATTCTGTGCCACCTGCATTGCATCTTCTCAGTCTTGTCCAGTGGAGCTTTTCCAAGTGGTTGGTGGCCTTTTACATCTCAGGGCAACAGGAAAGTTTATAGAACTCTCAGTAGCTCACTGTGATGAACTTACTCAGTACCTTCAGATTTGTCACAAATTGGACTCCACCATTAATATAGTTCCACTAATAGAGGCATTCAGAGCACCATCTGGGCCAGTTTTGTTAGATGAGTCTCTGTTATTGAGGCTTGAGAATGAGGACAAGGTGCTTGGTCAGGTTTGACATACCACCTGTATGCTCAACACTTGCCCATCATGGCTAATCAGGATAACTGAGGAAAGGATTTGTATCTATAAATGCCTATTTGAGAGAGGGAGTGGTACCAACCTCTTTAAAGGAGGCTGTGATTAAGCCACTCCTAAAAAAGCAGAACGTGGACTCAGTAAATGTGAATAATTACAGATCAGTTGTGAATGTCCCCTTTCTGAGCAAGGTGCATGTGGGTGGTAGCCAGGCAACTCCAGGTACTCTTGGATGAAATAGACATCTAGATCCATTTCTATTGGGTTTCAGGCCTGTTTTTGGAATGAAAACTGCCTTGGTTGCCCTGTGAAATGGCCCTTGCCAGGAGAGAGATGATGGAGAGAGACTCTGTTGATCTCTTGGACCTCTCAGCAGCTTATGACGCAATCAGCTATGGAGTCCTGGATAGGCTTCCTGGATCGGGAGTTCGAGGTACTGCTTTGCAGTAGTTCTGCTCCTGACTAGGTGATTGATTCCAGAATATGGTGTGGGGGGATTATTGCTCTGCAGCATGGCAGTTATGCCATGGGGCAGTGAAGGGCTGTATTTTATCTCCTATGCTCTCCGATGCCTGACCATGGTTATCCATGCTCTGGTAACCTCTCATCTGGGCTAATGCAATGTGCTCTACATGGGGCTGCCTTTGAAAATGGTCCAGAAACCCCAACTTAACTCAAAATATGGCAGCATGGCTATTAATGTAGAATGGTTCATGAGGCCATATCACACCAGTCCTCTTTCAGTTCCATTGGCTGCCAGTTAAAGTACAGGCCAATTAATAGTGCTTGTACTAATGTTATTTATTTATTTAGAATTTTTGTATGCCATCCCATTTGCATGAGCCTCGGGACAGCTTACATACAATAAATAAACACAATACAAATAGTGCACATAAAATCCAGATTCACCCTGGCTGCAAATTAAAAAACCTATAGATGACATTAAAAATTGTTAAAATATTGTTTAAATAAAAAGGTCTTAGCCTGGCACCGAAAAAGAAATAACGACAGTGCCAGGTGGACCTCTCTGGGGAGCGCATTCCATAGGTGGGGTGCCACTGCAGAGAAAGCCCTCCTCCAGGTACTTAGCCTCCTAATGTCTTTCACAGAGGGTTCCCAGAGGAGGGCCTCTGCTGCCGATCTCAAGGGGCGGGAGGGCAAATATGGAAGAAGGCATTCTTTTAGGTATCCAGGTCCCAAGCCGTTAAAGCCCCAAATGACTTGGAGCTAGGTTATCTGAAGGAACACCCTATACCATTTGTTCCTAATAGTACTAATATTGTTTGCTGAGGTCCTTCTCAGGGAATCCCCCCCCCCCCCGAAGTAAAGGAGTGCTAAGCAGGGAAAGGGTCTTTTCAGAAGTAGCACCCTATCCCTGGAATATGCTTCAGGATGGCCTGATGCCATCTTTGCCACCTTTTCAGAGATAGGTGAAAACGTTTTTTATTTTGCAGTTATTGTAATAGTTAAGTCTGCTGTGTTTTATTATCTGTTGAGCTAGTTTTACTTTACTTGCTGCTGTGCTGTAGGGGATGGGGGTCGTTAAAATATTATAGCTGCTGGGTTTTGTTGTCCTGTGGCTGTTGTCCATTGGATTGTTTTAGTCTTCTGTTGACTATTTAATACTTGTATATGAACTGTATATGAACTTTTACATTTGTAAACTGCTCAGATAGCCTGCAAACTGTAGGGTAGTATATAAATGTAATATAAACAAACAAACAAACAAACAGTTAACCAAGCTTGCAAGTGATAGTTGCCCTTTAACAGCAGGTGATAATACTGTTAAAAATCTCACCTGTTAATTCTGCAAATCTGTTTGAAGACATCATGGTACAGAAACATAGGTCTCTAGAAGTCTACTCATGGGTAAATACTCTTTACACTGTCACCATTCCATTAAATGTAAAATGTGGCTCAAGGTCTGTTACAGTATTTGGTGACACTAGACCAATTTGCATAAGTTAACTGCCTCCTGTTGTGCACTATAAATTTCCCAATAAAGAAGACTCCAGATGAGTAGGATCACAATGTATTATTTTTATCTTTAGTCATTTTAAAAGTAAATACTGCTTCCTTTAGTACATTTTTTGTACATTAAACAACAATGAATAGATTCAAGTTATTTTTAGAGGCTGAGAGGAAAAGAAAAAAGGAGGGAGAGGAATCCTTTGTTCAAATATTGGGAAGTGATTGTCATTACAAAGGAGTACACAATTTCACTTACAAAAATTTAAAAAAGGATAGTGAGCCAGGAATGGATATTACTTTTGAATGTATCACACATATTCTAACCAAAAAACCTTGAATTAACATCATCATTGATTGACAATGGTTACATATGCAAAAGTGTCTTTTATTGGTATATTTGCAGAAAACACGCTTTAATATATATTTATAATCATATTTTATGTGGTAAAAAGAGGTATGAAGACAGATTACATTTTCCAGGATTCCCAAGGACTGTAGCCTAATAAAATTAATGATACGTATGGATTAAATGTTTTGTATGCCTTTTCTATTTTTTAACTTCCATTTCTGCTTATTATCCACTTCAACACAATGGGTTGTATTACCAATTCTGATCCTTTCTGGATAGATTTAAGGCACAATGCTACCCATGTTCTGATAGAAAAACAGTCTACATTTCTCAGCATGGACCATCCAGGCATGCTGACAGCTGTAGGACTTTTTCTAAATGTATGTAGGATTGTACCCTTCACTGTAAAACTAATCAGCAGAGTACAACTTTAGTTGAGAATAAGCCCCATTGAAGTACATGACTCTTTTTTCTCAATAACATTTATTAATAGTTTTGAAATATAAGGTATTTATAAAGGAAACAACCATTTTTCAAATGGTAAGTAGCTTACAGAGGTTTATGTGCCTATAATGAAACATTGGTGTCATACTTAAAATAAAGGGGGGATAGGTGGAAGAGAGATGGTGGTATTATCAGAGGGATAAGGGCTGAGGTGTACAATTCCTTACCTTCACCAAATGTGGACACAATCTAGATGGCACCATCTTGAGGGGAAAAGATTTCAGACCCTTTGCTGCAGGTGTAACATTTGGCTGCATTGAGTCATTGTTGTTTTATTATATTCCCAGTAGTAGGAGCCTCACTGGCAATTCAACTGTATTGTACAGTAGCCATGGAAGCCAGTGTCCTGGAGTATATACTTAGGCATCAATATATCTTATTTGTAATTAATAAAATTTGAGTTGTCTCTTTCTTGGTCTAGATTTCTGTTCTCAAACCCACAATATGTGTTACTATGGCAAACCTTTGCTATGATTAGAGCCTACACCCACACAATCCCTCGTCCACCTCCCTTAATGGACATGTCACTAATGCAGCCCTCTGCCTCATTCTTATGTTTGCTTGCCAGTAGGCTTACCAGGTAGTAAGTGGTATGTGGAGTCATACTGGCAAGGAAGCCATACTGCCCTTCCTCATGAGACTTTCTCATGGGTGAGACTGGCAGTTGCAGCTGTCCTCTACTTGGAAAGCCCATATTGTGCATGGAGCCTGAATAATGCCAAATTATGCCAGGCCTGCTATATTTATGTTCTTGGCTTTTGTAACTTCATGCAGCTCATTGTTGCTTTCTGGAAGCTTCTCCTGCAGCCAGTAGTCCAGCTCCTTCAACTGAGAGGTTTAGTTCATTCACAGGAACAAAGGTCAATTTGTTTTAGAATCTTTAACTTCTCTATCTTGCAGCAATAATGTGGAGAAATAATATCGACACTGCTGGATGTTTGGATGGAGCCAGGGAAGATTCCCTATAGCGGGGTTGAGGAACGTATAACTCGTCTGAAATCGTTGGCCTGCAATTCCCATCCTCCGTTACCATAGGCTTCGCTGGTTTGGGCTAATGGGAGTTAAAAGCCAACAGCATCATTAGGGGTCCTACAATATCGTAGACTTAAAATGCGATTCTTAAAATGCCTGCCCCCGGCCTCACCCCCTCCCCCGAAAATGACAGCAATAGCCTGAGAGGTTGCTCTCTGCTTTGCGGGGCGGCGGGTTGCGCGCTCAGAGGGCAGTGCCGGAAATTCTGCCGCGATTTGTCGGGCGGTTATCGTTCAGCCTGGCTTTCCCGCTACCCTCAAGGACAGGAGGCAGCGCAGCCCTGCCCGCCTGCCCGCTCACTCGTCCGTCGTCCGTATCTCGACCCCAAGAGCAACATGGGCGGGGTGCGACGCGCCTCCGTTTTACGCCAATGGGAGGCCTCGTCTGTGCCAGCATATAGCCGGATAGGGCTGCCAGATCTCCACCCATCGCTGGACACGACGCGACCGCCAGCCAACCCGGGCGGAGCTTTCCCTTCCTTAAGGCAGCTGACGCAGCCAGCGACAGGCAAGCCGGTAAAGAAGCAACACGTCGAGACGTTGCGGCAGCCACAGTAGCGGTGCTTGCCTGCCCTTCGCCGTCGAGCGCGATCTGCTATCCGCCACCCACAGTGAGCCAACCAAGCTTCCCTGCGCTTCTCTAGAAGAGACATTGGTCGCCGCCGCGAGCAACATGGCAAACACTAAGGAGAATAGCGCCGCTTTCCTGCCGCCCTTCAAGCACTTCGCTACACAGGCCATCCACGTGGGGCAAGATCCCGAACAATGGAACTCGCTGGCCGTGGTGCCTCCGATCACTCTCTCGACGACCTTTAAGCAGCACGCCCCGGGAAAGCACAGCGTGAGTGGCATGGGAAAGAAAAGACGAAGGCAGCATAGGGTTTCAGGGATGGAGAGAGCGACCTCTCTTCCTTCCTCAGTTGCTGGTTGCCCATGCATGCATCTCCGCAATGCTCTGGCGGCAGCTGTAGCTTTTTTCTGCTTAGCTACGACCAGGTCAACCCTAATTCTGGAATGGAGCCCCTTCTCCAGTACCGACGTACGATTATATCGGGTCTCTTTCCGACCGCCCACTTCCGCATCATACTTTGCCGCTTTTCTCGGTCTTTATCGCTCTTTAGCTCTGTACTCCATTCCTTCTTTCCCGAGACGCCCCGCAGGTTCTTGAGGAAGACTGTAGTCCTGGGATTTTAATTATGACTAAAACATCCCTTTTAATTTGAATGTCCATACATTTGTTTGGAACGCAGATTAACGCGTGCTTCCGCATTGGGGAGTCGCACTGAAATGTTATGGATGTTCCAGATGATGAAGTCTGCCATTTGTAATTCCTCTTGTGTTTTCCCATGGCTGCTGCCATCTTTCTTTGTCTATTTCATCTTACTGCAGCAAATTCATTAAGGGAAAAAGATGGAAGCACCTTGCAATAACTTGTAGTATATACCAGGGCAATAGGACTTTTTAGGAATGATTATATCACTTCTGTTAATCAGCCATGTCTTAATTGTAAATCTAAAGAAAATAATCCTGGCAAAAAGGAAAGTCCAGAAGAAGAACTTCTAGCCAGTTTCAGAGGAAGGATGATCAGAAGATGCAGTATCAATCATTTTGCCTTGTCACTCTGCATTAAAAGGACCAAATGAGGCAATTCTGTGTTTTCTTTTTCTAATAGAGGCTCTGTGCATGTGTCTGTGATTGGAATTGGAATCTTGTAAGAGGTTTTTTTCTCAGCTGCAGTCCTGATGAAATGACCCCCTTTTTGGCAGCGGCAGCTGTGTGTGTATTTTAAATACAGTCTAGGTGCATAGAAGCACACATACACAGGGGTGCAGAAAGTGTAGTTCTCCAAATGCAGTTGGACAGTGCATTTAACACAGCATGTAATTCACCCTTAAAACTGCAAAACTTAAGAGTCATTGTGGAATTCATTTGGTAAGATAGAGCTATTTCATAAAAAGGTATATCAACTTTACAATGGAATACATCGACTTTATGAATTGAATTTGGGAATGGCTCTTTTCAGGAAAGCCCTGCTAGCCATTCTCTCTCAAATTGGTTTCAGGATGTTAATCCTAGTTCAGGGTAGTTTCCAGGTTGCAAGGAAATGGTGACTAATTGTTATGGGCAGGACACAACAGGTTTGCCTTGCTGCTTTCTCCTGCATGATACAACACAGAGTGGAAATTGCATAAGCAAGTGGACAATATTCCAAACAATTATATCTTCATTACATGTTTTGGGTTCAAAGAGCATGCACATTTTAAAAACCATAAAATGCCATCTTCTTTAAAGCAAGCAAAAATGTCATGAGGCTCCTCGTAGGCTAAAATATAAAGTCATATTAACTCTAACAGCACTTAATGTGCCCCGAGACTTTTTTTCTGCCACAGACTCAATGCAGCTATCTTTCTGTTAATGTTCAATAGGATGCTTAATATTTTCCTAGTGAACATTTGAAAGTTTAGCTGAGCAATCAAAGTACAAAACTAGAAGAAAGATGTTCCATTACATTTCTGTAGAGAATATCTTGTTCTTCTAGAAAACCTATTTCTCTGCCCTGCCCCCCTTCGAAAGTGATCCACTTTGATACCTAATTTGTCACTTTTCAAGCAGATTGATTCAAACTGGCAAATAATCAGTGTTAAGTCAAGATGGAACTTTAAGTATAATTTATATGGCTATAAAGCAGCAAAGCAACACAGGTGCATGTGTAAAGACCAATCATGTAGCCTGAGATTCCTTGGAAGTGTTTGCTTCCACTGTTCCTGTTGTCAAAAAAGCAAGCTGCTATGGTTAAAAATATCAAAGAATGTTTCCATTTTGTTTGTCTGTGTGCATGCGAGCATGCATTTTGATTCACCAGCATGTAGCTACCTCATGGAGTAAACCAGTGGGTGTGAAGTTTTGTTTTTTCAATTAGAGGTCAGGAAATAGGGCAGTTCAGCTCTTTTGACCACTGATACTGCTTACATTTCTGCCATGTTTCTGAAGCAAATAACCTTACTTGGCTTCAGTGATAACCTGGAAGATTAATCTGGTAATTCTGCATTCTAGCATGGCTGATCTATTGATTTATATCAAGGCAATTTGTGGTAGATTGGCAAGGATTTCTGATATGCAGTTGTCTGAAGCAGGCAACAGCTAAAAAGCTCCCTGTCCTGAAAGAAAAAATGTTGTTGTTGTTGTTGTTAGTTGCAAAGTCACGTCCAACCCATCGCGACCCCATGGACAACATTCCTCTAGGCTCTCCTGTGCTCCACCACCCCTCCGAGTCCACCCAAGCTCAGACTCACTGCTCCAGTGACTCCATCTAGTCACCTCCTTCTCTGCTGTCCCCTTCTTCTTTTGCCATTAATCATTCCCAGCATCAGGGTTGTCTCCAGTGGGTTGTTCCTTCTCATTAGCTGGCCGAAGTATTTGAGTTTCTTCTTAAGTATCTGGCCTTCTAAAGAGCAGTCAGGGTTGATCTCCTCTAGGACTGACTGGTTTGATCTCCTTGCGGTCCAAGGGACTTGCAGGAGTCTCCCTCCAGTACTATAATTCAAAGGCCTCAATCCTTTCGCGCTCAGCCTTCCTTATGGTCCAACTTTCACAGCCATACATTGCAACTGGGAAAACCATAGCTTTGACTGTATGAACTTTCATTGGCAGGTTGATGTCTTCTATTTAGTATCCTGTCTAGATTTGCCATAGCTCTGATGAAATAAAATGCTAGTGAGGGAGCAACACAGGAGTACGGTTTTGAGCAAAACGATTTGTGGGCATGATTCTTGCACAAATCATAAATTCCAGGACTGAGCATGTGTAGAGAGATACTCTGTTCTCTAAATTTAGTATGTGCCCCCCTGCTTGAGTTACCATTTTGCATCTAGCACCAATTGAAAGATGTTATGGTATTAGTTAAAAATATCCAAAATTAAAAGTAAATCCCAGAAGTCTGAACCACCAGTGCAGAAGGGGGTGAGTAGACCATCTTAAATGCTCCTGTTACAGGTAAGTCCCATTGACTTACAATATTGGAGCTTATCCAAGTGGATATGGTACTGCAGCCTGTTTTTCATGTTTCAAGTGTGATGGCCCATGCTCTTACTAGTGTATTTTACTCTGGGTGGCTGGACAAGTGTCTGCTAAATGCCTTCCCTCTAAGGTCTGGCCTCTTTTGAGTCTTCATTCTTTAAGTCCTCTTAAAGTCTCTGCCAGTTTTCCTCCTATTTACCATTGATCCTAGCAGTTTCCTTTCTTGTCCATTATCCAGATTCCCCCTAGGCCCTGAGTGAACTCCAGATATCAGAACTGGATTCTCATCACATACACAGTCCCACCCTGGCAGTCTAGGTCTCATCTTGGCACCCCCACCCATTTATCCCACAAGCACCACTGTGGACTTCGTTGGGCAAACCAGAATCCTCTAGAAACAGTCTCATATCCTCATTTGTGTTCCTCCTTACCTTCTGCTGTCCTCTTGACTTCAGCATGTGGACTCAGTAGCTGAGACCCTGAAGCACGGGACTCTGATTCGCAACAGGTTGTGCCAAACTGAATGGTTCAGTGACTGGAAGACTGAATGGCACAGTCAAGGACACCAGTTTTAGCATGACTTCTGGGACATGGAGATTGCCTTATGGAACAGAAGACAACCTTAGGCCTTGCTTTGAACTGAGTAGTACTCCTGCGTCTTTACCCTCCTCTTTCATCATGTTTGGTACTTGCATGAGAAAAGTTATTGTGAGTGTTGTGCCTTTTTCTCATCCCGTTTTTGGAATGCTTCTGCTCAAGGAAAATGCAAGTCATAAAATTTGTGTTCAGTCTTAGAGTAAATGCACTGAAATGAATGGAACCTCAGTTAATCAGATAGAACTCATCGTCAGGCCAGCATCTGTTCCTTGCAAGCCTGAGTACATCCTGTCTTGCAGACAAATGAATGAGAAAGAAGATAACTCCTCCTGCTCTTCCTTTGATTTATGTTTGGTTTAATTCTAGTCGCCTCCCCTTATTATGGAATAGTCTATTAGAAGAAGACTCAGGTGGCCACCAATTATGCATGTTGGCATCACGTGTGTGCGTATTGGTAGTCCTCAGACCTTACTGCATTTCCTTTGAATAGTGTTGACACGTTGCATAAAATTGTCTTGATCCTCAGTGCTGGAAAAAGCCTGATCACTCCCTAACTCCCTATAATGCAAAAGAATATTGACTTTATTAGCAGAAATCACTTCTAACTAACACAATGTAATCTGTTTTCATTCAAGTTTTCATGTAATGTGACAACAAGGAAGATGGAAGATTTCACTGACATAAGGTTTTGGACATTAATTTTATTTTCTTTATTCTCTAATGAAAGTCATAACAGATTTTCATGATTCCCAATTTCATGTCCGTAAAATAGTAATAAGTCTTTGGAATTACCTTAAATATTCCAACAATTACTGATTAACATATTTACCATTTTTGTTTTGGTCTTTTGCAGGGCTTTGAATATAGCCGTTGTGGAAATCCTACACGTGATTGTTTGGAAAAGGCTGTGGCAGCACTGGATGGTGCCAAGTATTGTAAGCTGTCAATATTTTAAATAAGAAAATAACAATTTTATGTGCTGGAAGATATGTGCTTGATGATCATCATCTGGAATAATAATGAAAATAACAATAAATTAAATCATAGATTTATGACTAACTCTTAAATTTCCTGTTATATTATGCATTAGTACAGCTGCATTGTTTTGCTAAACTTTATTAGTGTTTTTGTCCACTATATTAAGGTATTTGCTAATCCACATTTTCAGAAGCACAATATCTAGGATATGAAATGATGAATATAATATAACCATGTACAGCTCCATAGTTTAATGTTTTTCTAGTGCCTGGAAATGTTAGGTAGGGTTCATTTGTTAGTTTCTAGAGAAAACTACTGTACTAACTTTGGAGTCAGTGCCCCTAATCTAAGGGTGGGCAGCTTTGGAAGTTCTGGAGGCCATGCTTGCCTTTCAGCTGCCCCCCATTCCACCACAGGCTGCAGTTGGCAGGATAACCTGAAAATAAATTTTTAAAATTGTGTCCATAACGGCTGCAGAACACCAAAATAGTCAAATTTAGCTGACCTGCAAACAAACTTTGACACTTTTATTATTTATTTATTTATTTAAAACATTTTTATGCCACCCCCATCGCAACAAAGCCTCGGGGCGGCTTACAAAAAAAAAACAAAGTTATACAATAAAAATATTAAAACCCGGTGCATCTCGGCTTAAAAATTTTAAAATCCTACACAATAAATTAACACTTAAAATAAGTTTTAAATAAAAAGGTCTTAGCCTGGCGCCGAAAAACAAATAACGACGGTGCCAGGCGGACCTCTCTGGGGACTTTCTGAAACTTTTGGTTTCAGAATTTTGGAAACATCCTATATGTGACCTTTTTGCTACTCTGCGGTGCTACAGACAGCAATACACACAAGCACAAACATACACACAAGGGGAATGCAGCGGCAGAGCTGCATGCTGCCATCGCTACCCCTATCTAATCCCAGATGGTATTCTTGGATGCATTCACAGTACATGCTTTCTTGTGCTCAGAAGTTGAAGATTGTCACAGTTCATGTAAAGTTCAAAAATATTGAAGAATAATTTAGTTTCTTTATCAGCTTTGTTTTGTGTTTCTCTCTGCCCACCCCACCTAGGTTTAGCATATGCTTCTGGATTAGCAGCTACTCTGAACATTGCCCACCTACTGAAAGCAGGAGATACAATTGTTTGTACAGATGATGTCTATGGAGGTGAGTGGTGTGTCTGTTTATGGTAGGTTTTAACTGTCCTAATTATAATTTCTTGGGTTGCAGCACAGAAGCTTTTAAGCAATGTTAGATATAAACATGTGAAGTCAAGCTATCCCTTGATGAAGGCAGCATCTTTGAGGAAAATGTGAACTTCATTAGCCACCTCAGGTCAAATACTGCAGATGGAGTTTTCATATCACTTCAGGCATGGTAGTTTTTAGATGGAAAAAACTTGCATTCTGCTATGAATCTGCAATCGGTGTCCATGCATTTGTGAATCAGCCCTGAGCCTCGCTGACTACACTGCCCCCCGGTTCCTTTTTATATGGTGTATATGCCGCAGAAACTATAAATACCAGCTTTAGCTATGTCAGGAACCAACACTAATAGATCTTTCAAAACACATGGATTTTCTTGACCATACTGCACCTGCCCTGCTCTGGAAATTGATTGATTTCTGCACATTTTCTTTAGTTTGATGTGTTTTGAAATATTAGGATTGGTTCAGATGTTAATCTTCCAAACCACTGCTGTAGAGAGCTGGGAATGCTCATAAAACCCCAAGCACTGAGGCTTACAAATTTTGCAAAGTCCAGGAGATCTTAGTTTTTTCACACCACTCTGCATTTTAGCTAAGCAATCATTTTTGGGCATATTGCTGAGGCTCTTTGGAACTGCATCTCTGATCTTGGATCTGGGAACCTGAATTATCTTGATCTCCCAGAGGCTTTAGGATTGCTCTCTTAATCAGTTAAACACTTTCTCTTTATTTCAAACCATCATTTGCCATTAAATCTGGACCAAACTATGAGTTGTGCTTGCCTTCAGAACTAAGATTGAATTGGTTTTTGATTCTGATTTGAAGAACTATTGCCAACCCACTTCTCTGGCTGAACTGTAAAAACAGCCTGTGGGTTGCATTAAAGAAGAAATAACTTATATGCTTCTGTGTGGAAGGAAGAGGGAGTTTCTAAGTCCATAGCTTTCTCATGCAATGCCTTTGGACTATGTCAGCACCTTTTGAACGGTTTAGCTTTTTTAAACCTAAATTTAAACAAAAACAAATTTAATTGTAATTTTACATTGTGCAGTTGGGGTAGTATGCTATTTGCCAGTCTTCTTTTAGCAACTTAGTTCATTTCTTCTAGTTTCCTTGTTTCCCATCTGTACAAGTGAGTTCTGGGCCATAGTAGCCCAGGGCCACAGTGGATTACATATCAGTCCATGCATCTTTGTGCTTTCCCCAGAGGTTGCTATTCTAGGTCTCATATCTGTGTGTCCAGGGCCTAGAGCAGCCCTAGAAAAATGAATTTCTATTTTCTCAGGAATGGAACTTGTTCATAACCTGGAAAATGCCTCTAAATACAATCTGGTGCAAATCATAAAGATTGGTATCTTGATATCCTAGGTACAAACAGGTATTTCCGGAATATAGCAACAGAGATGGGTCTGAAAGTTGCTTTTGTTGACTGTAGCAGACTGGAATGCCTTGAGGCTGCAATCACACCAGAGACCAAGGTAACAGAGGAATCTTCAGGAAGCAGGGTTCTTAGCATGCCTAGAATTATTTTCTTCTATCAGCTCTGTTCAATGTATAGAAGCCAATGACTTAGGATGTTTGGCCATGGTTTTTCAAAACCAAAGTGTAGGAGAAAGAGTGAAGTGATATAATGCATACCTCCTTACACTAGCTGCCTGGAACAGGCTCTTGTGGCTAGTGACTTCTTTGGCAATATCTGATGACTATTTGCCAATGTAAGCATGTACAGTATGGCCTGGTTTTCATATAATGCTAACCAATGATTTATTTAACCCATGTTTTGTTGCCCTGTTTAAGGATTGTCTGGCAGATGGTTGAAGACCTTTTCTCCCCTGCAGAGGAAGGCAGGATATGCTCCAATGGAGCAAAGCTCAGGGAACCAAGGTTCAATTTTGATGCCTGGAAGCACTTCCTGACAGTTAGGACCCCGAGGGTGTGGAATGGGCTTCCCTGGGAGGTGGTTGAGGCCCCATCGATGAGGGTGTTCAAGGATAGGCTGGACATGCACATGGTAGGCATGTCGTGAGCGGAGCTGGCTGGAGCTGAGGGTCAGACTAGATGGCCAAAGAGACCCCTTCTGACTCGCTCTGTTTCTATGTGTTTTCCCTCAGTCCTTGGGTTGCCCCCCTCTTCCTTCACAGCACAGGCATATAGAACACCTGAGATCTGGCTGTATTTTATTTTTTACTGCTCTTGCATTCCACTTCTGCAGACTGACAAAAAACCCCATGCCACTTTGATTCATACCTAATAACAATCAATGGTTTAAACCACCCAGAGTTCGCAACCCAACAATACACAATGCATTTCCTTTCTGAGTTGGTTGTGGTAAGTAAACCATGGTTTGTTAGTGCAGCTATATCCACACATGGCAATCCAGAATTCAGCAACCTAAACCCATGGATTAGCATTGTGCACAAACTAGGCTTATTAGCGGAGTTCAGTAATGTGTCAGGATAAAAACCAATGAGAAAAATTGTCTCTTGTCAAATGCAGTGTGATAAGTATTGCAGGATGATATTTAGATGCAGTTTAAAGTTGCTTGAGAGATTTTCATAGGAATCTATAACACTGGTGAAAAAAAAATGCAGATAAGGACCTTAATCCAAAGGAAGTCTCAAAGGGCAGGTTTCTGCAAGCTAGTAATACTCGAGCAAATACATTCTGGTAAGAATACAGTGTATTTGTACACTGAGAAGAAAACAAACAACTTTCAGTTCCTTGCTTAAATGGTAGGACCGTCTACACAATGTGCATTCTATAACTCCAGCCTACATACTCTTGGCTTGCATCTAGATGGCTGAAGATGAAACTGAAGCATTTGGTGCACAGGATCACAAGTCTAGGAGTCTCTTTCTGAGGAATCTCTTGTTATAACCAATATGCCATACTGAATTTGCAACAATAATTGAACAATACATGCAGGGAAATTGTGATGAGCAAAATGGGTTTGCATGTGCATAAAAGAGAAAGGTCCAAATAAATCCCTTTTCAATTTACTTCATTTTACAAATATGAGGAAGGAATATAATCATAATCCAAAATTTTGTTGATAGCAATGTTTTCAAATAATATACATTTATGTGTCATGTCTTTTCAATTCAACAGCTTGTCTGGATTGAAACACCCACAAATCCAATGTTGAAAGTTATTGACATTCAAGGGTGTGCAAACATTGTCCATAAACACAAAGGAGTTATTTTAGCAGTAGACAATACCTTTATGTCTGCATATTTTCAGGTAAGTCGATTATCCAGTGCTCCCTTGGAAATGCTTTACAGGTTGTTCTTTTTTTCTTTTTTCCAAGAGAGGGAGGGAGGGAGAGACAGACAGACAGACCATGGAATTGATTATATGTGTGTAATACATACATAGATTGCACTGTGTCCATACAAAATAGAGGGTTTAAACGCTGTGATGCAAAGTCTGTAATTTAGTGACTTCTTTGAAAGCAGGAACACCTGTCGTAGTTAATAGTAATGCTGCATAGAGACATTCCTGAAAAATAAATGGGCAGTAAAATGGAGGGACCTTAATCCCATGCAATTAGAATTCTGAAAATGATGGGGGATGTAATCTAGCCCATTTTCTCATTTTAATCTTTCATGATCAAACATTCCTAATAGAAAAGTCAATATAATGGAGGAAAACAACAGCCAGTGATCCAGATTGCAGTATGCCAGGAGCAAAGAGCGGAAGAGAATAAGACATATCATGTTGGTTACAGTATTTCCAGGAGAAGAAAACATTGAATATACAACAGAACAGACCCTAATGATGAAACAAAGCATGATTCAATATTAATTCTCCATGGATATTTAGGGAAAAGAGAAAAAGCAGCCTGTTTAATGCCATTTCTGTTTCTACCCTAATAATAATAATATTTATATCCTGCCTTTTTCTTTTAAAGAACTCAAAGCGGCTTTCATTCTCCTCCTCCTCCTGCCCTTAGTATTACCACCACAATAGCAACCCTGTTGGCCTGAGAGTTGGTTTCATGGCTTTGTGGGGCTAGAACCCAGATCACCTGAGTCCCAGTTGTGCATTCTTAACCTTTACACCACACTGACTCTCATTGTATTAACCAATCATAGCAGCAGGGCACTTAAGCACTAGTCCATCTGTCTAATAACCCATATTCACAATATTATGAAATAATTTTCCCCACACCTTCTTAGGCTCTCCTTTCATTTTCCTGTGGTGCAGTTGTCTTGGAAGAGAACTTACACAGTAAAATGGTTTATTATATTCTACAGAGAGCTAGAAAGTGAGATATAGGAAACAGATGAAGTTTCAGCTGGAGGAGCCTGTTTCTGCTCTCATCAAAACAAGGTAGCTGCCATTTAAAAAGAAAACCAGGCGTACAACATCTTGGTATACCTGCGGTGCAAAAGAAGAGCACATGAGGTGCCCTGGTGCCTCTTCTATAAAAGTTTTTCTGTAGAAAGGCTGTATATGCTGTAGCACCAGTGAGGACGTCATGTCATCCTGTGTATTTTGTTTATCACACTGGTTTTTTGCCATTTATACAAAGAGCTTTTGGCAGTCTGTCCCATTTTAGCCGCACAGTTTTAAGGAATGAAAGACTCAAGCAGAAGTACTTGTCCCAGACCATATAGGAAACTTCATGGTTAAATGGAAAGTTGAACCTGCTCCTTCAATTTGAACTTGCTCCTTCCTATCTAACACGATTTACTGTAGCACACTGATTTTCTTTGGCCAAGTTCTTCACACACCTTTGTTAAAATCTGTACCTTCTAGGAAAAGATAGGGGATGGAGGGCTGAGTTCTCCTCGTGCTGGGCCCTTGAAGTTAGCTCAGAATCCAACAGTGCATGAGTGAATGCCTGCTTGTGCAACCTCCTTTTCATCTAGTCACCCAGTCTCCCCCCACAACCAACCAAAATTTGCACTGGATGGTCCCCTAGCCCTCCAGTGCAGAACAGAATAGAACAGGAGTTGGAAGGGGCCTATGAGGCCATCAAGTCCAGCCCCCTGTTCTGTTTTCACATGTGGTCACCCGTCTGGCTGCAGGCCCACGCCTTTCCAGCTTAATAAAGGTGGCTTGACATACTAATTCAATGTATAGCTATTCAGGCCCATGTTGGGGAGCATAGTGGGGGGCTGAAGGGGGAAATTGTCCCCCTCCCCATTCTTTCATTGGGATGACTGATTGGATTCCCCTATTCAGGTCCCATTTGTTTGCTTTTAATCCTTTTGTCTGACTTGTTCTTGGCCCAGCCGGTATTTCATCTCACCCCCAATCAGACTTTTTACACAAGAGCTTTTATTGCTCATGTACTTAGAGAGTACAAACAGTGGGTGGCAAAGTGTCCATGGGATTCATAAGTAATTTCTCAGAGAGTCCATCTGCTTACGCTTTATATTGGGGACATTTCTACAATACTCTGCTTTCAACTGTGGTATGTAAGTATATCTTAGTAGCCACTATATAAAACTCATTTGATTCTTTAAACAGAAAAATTAAATGAATTCCTTGTATTTTTTTTCTTCTTTAGCGTCCTCTGGCTTTAGGAGCAGACATCTGTATGTACTCAGCAACTAAATACATGAATGGTAAGTTTCTGGATGCTACATAAAGCTTGTGTGTTACATTGAATTGTCTTTACAAAGCAGAGAGATGCCTTTTGTACTGGTAGTGTTCCTTTTACCATATTTTAATTTCCTTCCTGTCACATGGTGGGAAGCTGTTTGAGACAGGTTGAGAGTTGTAGAATTTTTTCTGTCCAGATATGCAAAGAATTGTGCCCTAAGCAGTTTTATGGTGGCATCCATAAAAACAGGCTACATTTGCCTTATTCCAGCAAAGCATATGTACACAGTAATATGGTCTAGCCTGGTTTTCCTTCTAGGATATTCTTCTGATGTTTCTTTAACTTAATACCACAAGGCAGTATTCCATTTGAATATGCACTTTCTAAATGAGGAATGACTTTCTGTGAAAGCTTGCTAAATTCTCTTTATTCTCCCAGGAGAAAAACAGTTTTTCAAAAGTATATTGTTTGCATGCAAAACATTAGGCCTGAGAGATTTCCTTCAGGTATCCCTGAGGGCCCAAATGCAACCAATGTTTATCTGAACCATTTTTCCTTCAAACGGCATGCAGGAATCCTGAATCTTAAATAGCTTTATTAATATTATTGCCCAAATGGGGTTCTCTACAGAGCTCAAGCCCTTTTCATGTGTGAATCACATGAAGGTGTACCCTGCAAAAGGACTGTACTTCTATGCCCTCTCCTGAGGTGATGCAGCTTCTTGGCCCTGCCCTCATTAGGCTTGGCTTGGTTGCGGACTTCCTGCAAAAAAGCCCCTTCCAAGCATGTTGGCTTGTATCCCCCACCATTTGCAGCATCGGGATGGTGGGTGTTCTAGTCCAACAATTCTAGAGAGCACCCAGTTAGGAAAGACTCATGTAAGCCATACCAGAGGTATATTATATACTATTACCACCTTCTCCAATCTGGGGTCTGTCCAGATGCTTTGGGCTGCAGCTCCCAGCATATCCTAATGGTTGGCCACGGTAGCTAGGTGGAATGGAAGTTGGTTCTGGAAAGCACCAGGTCGTGGAAGGCCGCTTTCATTTTGAGAGTATTACATGCAAACACACTTCAGCCTTTGGTTCTAGGAAGATGGAACTGTTTAAGCAGTAATGTCATGCTTAGAATTGCACAAGAGGAATAGAAGAACAAGAAAATGATGAAAAAAGGAAAGGACGACCATAAACCCCATGTCTTTTCTACTTAAATGAGCAATGAACCATTTCTTTTCCCTTTGCTTTCTTGTATTTCAGGTCACAGTGATGTTGTAATGGGATTGGTTTCAGTAAATGATGATGACCTCCATAATAGGCTCAGATTCTTGCAATATTGTAAGTATGAATTGAATATACACAAAACCATTATGCGATGTATGTAAGGTTCCCAAACTCTGTCCATGCAAATTGAGAAATATGTTTTTGCGTTTTTAAGTAAAGCACCCATGCCTGACACTTATTCACAACCCCACTTTCCTTGTAGTAAAGATATTGCAACATTTTAAATTAAATCTTTCTTTTATTGCAAACCAGCATATTCCCATAGAAGTTCATTTCCACTGCCTTTGTGTTTTTAAAGCCTTTTTAAAGTGCTGCCCTACATGACAGAAAGAAAGACAAGAATAGTAAAGCTGTAAACTTTGTGTTGCAGGGAAAGGGAAAACTTTTAAAATGATGCAAGATCTGGCTCACCTGCCAGTTTTGTTGTTTGTTTCATATGTCAACGTGGTTGCAGTGAGTTCCAGTTTTTGACCTGGACCAGCAGTGCAGAATGTGCATTTATGTCTCAGCCATTTTTACCTTAACCTCAGTTAGCTTTGCTCGGGGAAAGGATGGGTGCAGTATGGGTACCTGTATTGCAACTGTTTGCCCAGGCTTAGCCTGAGACATTTTGCTTCCTCAGCCAGACTAGCAAATAGTACCTCCCATATCTGCAAGTCAATACACATCGTACCCAAGGCTGGCAAAGCTGATTGCTGCACCTGAAACAATGCAACTTGCAGGCAGTTCTCCCTGGGAGTAAAAATAGATTAAGAGGAAAAATAATATAACCTATCATTTTCATGACATTCTGAGTCAGGTGCCTGAGGCAGGAGCCTCGCTCTGCCCACTGATAGGGCCAGTCCTCTGACCTATTTTCCAGTGCTGCAGGATGTGGAACAGCATAGAATAGGTGCTGGTATCCCATTGGTCTAAGCTTGGCTGAGGCCATCAGGAGTCATACCTGAACTGTGACTGGAATGTATTCACTAAATTAATGTCCTGATTGAGGTCTGTGTGCTCAGGTGGAAAAGGTGGGACCTAAAGTGTAGAAAGATGCTTCTGTATTGCCCAAGCCAAGGCAGAAGACTCCAGTTTTCTAAAATGTATATCAAGCCTGGACAATCCAGAGGATTCATATTCTTTGCCACATGGAGAGTCTGAAGTTGTACCTTGACAAGAGTGGTGTAGTGGTTAACATGTTGGACCAGGAGCCAGGAAACCCAAGTTTAAATGCATTCAGCCATGATATTCACTGAGTAAGCTTGGGTCCATCAATACCTCTTAAACAAGCCCACTTCATATTCTCCTGGAGCTGCTGTGAGGATAAAAAGTATGGGAAGAGGGAAAAAACCAAGTATACAAGTACTACTTTGAGATCCTTGAGGGAAGGGATGAGTAAGAAAAATACAATTAGCAATTCATATCACTATTTCCTTCTGTTCCAGAAGAAGACTCTGAGAGCTGAGCAAGCATAAAAGTACTTTCACTAGCAGCCCAGCCTCTGACCTTGAGATTAACAGTTCAAACTCCAAAATCCCATTTTTGTCACAATGCCACCAGAGTGCTGCCTTTTAATTGTTTTGATTAAAACTCCATTAAGCTGGGTATCTTACTCCAAACCTACTATTTTGATGGGCAGGCAGAACTGCAGTGCTTGGTTTCTCGGTATACTTAATCCTGCCTGGATGGGAGAGCTTCGGGTTGCTGTCCAGTTAGAGGGCACCAGGTTGAGGAAGCCTGACCTAACCCAAAGGGGTAACTAGGCCATGAGCAGGGGTGATTTCTATGTCTTCTTTTGCAGCCATTGGAGCAGTTCCATCTCCTTTTGACTGCTTCCTTTGTAATCGGGGTTTAAAGACACTGCCGATCCGCATGAAACAGCATTTCCACAACGCGCTAGCTGTAGCCCGATACCTTGAATCAGACCCAAGAGTTAAAAAGGTCATTTTCCCTGGTATGTTGAGTTCACAGAACCTGGAAGTCTCTGAAGAATTCCTGTGATGCAAATGCGGTGGGCCATAGTGGGAGAAGACCAGTTGCATGATTGAAGTGGCAATCCTTTGCCTATCTGCTTGGGGGAAAAGAAACTCAGCAGGGCTTCCTTCTAAATCGACATATGTACACTTGGGATGTAAATAAATTCTTTGAAGCCTGGTTTGGAAACTCAGATAACTGATTAAAGGCAGGAAGAACAGATGCTTGTGAATATTTCCTTCCAAATCCACTCCTACGATCTTGCCCTGCATTCTTCTATTCCATTGGTTTCTTTCCTTACCATTGTTATACACATGTTATATACATCTCAGGAAATGTACTTAAAACTCTAGCCTTGTTCATGCATTAAACATAGGTAGAGCTTCCATATGTAGGAGATGGGGCGGGGCTGCAGTACTGGGTCTACCCTCAAGATTATGCCCCTGCTACTCCTGCTCCTAGATTTCCTTGCCTTCAATGTGGACCTCTACAGAGAAGTGTTCACAGTCCCTCTGTAGGCACACCCACAGAGCATATGAGTATTGGGGGGATAAACTCAGCAGGGGGTGCTCTGTCAGGAGCTGAGCCTGAGATGTAGCCCCACTCCAACTTCTATGTGTATCCAGTGGGATGTAGTCAACATTAATCTAAGTCCCATTTATTTCAATGTTTCTACTCAGAGTAAGATGAGCATCAAATGCAGTGTGTGAAACAAAAGAATATAATCATCATAATCAGAACTTGTATCTGCTTTTATTCATCACAAACAGTATATTAGAACTGCTGAATGCTCATTCTATTTATATCTTTGGCTAGTTACTTCATTTTTGAATAGGGTGTGTGATTGTGGGCATGAAAGCAGCAATATTAATCAAGCTGTATAATGTGTGACTTATTTCAGGATTGCCATCACACCCACAATATGAGCTGGTGAAAAAGCAGTGCACAGGCTGCCCAGGAATGCTTTCCTTTTACATTAAAGGAAACCTTGAAAATGCCTCCACATTTCTCAAAAGCATAAAGGTAAGAAACTTCTAAAGGCAACGTTGCCTTTAGAAGAGTAACAGCACCTCCTCATAACAGTATTTGGATGCGGCCAACAAACTAGGAAGCTGCCTTCTCCATCCAGAGTGTGCTGTTCCCAGTCTGGTGCCCTCCGAGAATTTTGGACTTGAACTCCTGTCAACCATAGCTATCATAGCCAATGGGAGGGATGATGAGCGTTGTCATTCAAAACATCTGTAGGGCACCAAGTAGGGCAAGCATGCATTATGGAGTTAATATGTTTGTGGGATGTCCGAGAATGTAAATATAGTTATAGGGAGTGGCAGTAATGAGAGAGAATGGAAAGGGTGTTTCAGAATTAATGTGAAACAGTCACTCAGGCATTCATGATTGCCTAACAAATAAGGACCTCAGAATGCCAGTCTGTACCAGCTACTATCCCTTCTCTTTTCACAATTATACATGAAAGCAAGAAAGCTTTTGCTGATGTAACATGGTATTATGTTTTTAAAGTGCCTGACGTAAAACTTTGACATGAAAGACTTTGTCAAATTGCTTTTGCAGCATATTCCTTGGAAAGGTATTCTTTCTCAAATACAATGGTACAATCACGTCTCTTGAATGTCTGCCAGCAGTGTAGTGTTTTGTCTCAGGCTGTATCCTTTGGCTGTGGGCAGATGTGCCTCTGTTTCACCAGGGGCTGACATTAATGCTGCTATTAATTTAGATAACAAAAATAACATCTGTTATTGTTGTACAGCAATTATGGAGGATAAAAGTATTGTGGTATAGTGACTAAGAGTGTAGGACTGGGACCTCAGGCAATCTGAGTTCTAGTTCCCACTCAGCCGTGGAGCCAACTGGGTTACTCAGGGCCAGTCACAGACTCTTATCCCAGCCTTCCTCACAGAGTTGTTGTAGAGGAGGAGAATGGAATATGCCGCTTTGAGTTTGTTGTAAGAAAAAAATGGGATATAAAACTCATTAGTAATTCATGAAGAACAAGGAAAATAGATGTTTTACTTCCCAAGGGCTTGGACTATGTTAATCCTTTCAATTGGGATCTTGTGATTAAATCTCCATTTGGCACTTAAAACAAACTTGTTGCTAAAAAGTAACGGAGCAACAGTGCCTTACATTACTGCCAGAAAATGCCCAGTCTCAGTGCAGTGGTCAGTAACCGAGTGGCTAATTTCTGACCCCACCAGGGACTGCCTTCCTGGTTATACAGAAGAACTGCATTTGATCATCATATTCGGTTTCAGATCCATATAACTTATACTTCCATGTTGATATGCTACTCTAGCATCTCTTGATAGCACATACTGATAAAGATATGATACTGTATAATTCAAGACATAAAAATGTTCTCCAAATGTCAACATACATTGCATATTTTTTAAAGTGGAGCGCTGAATTTCATTTGATGCTTTTTTTATTTTGTTCAAATAATCTCTCTTGTTGTCTGACCCACTGAAGAGTTAAGTGGACTGTCCATTGATTTTACCGGGCTTGAGCAGAGCATACTGAATTCTGCATAGGTCTGAATTGCATGTTTTCAAATGAGAAGGTGAATGAATATTTATTGAAACAGGTTCTGTTCCGTCCTCTAGCTTTTTGTCTTGGCTGAAAGTCTAGGAGGATATGAAAGCCTGGCAGAGCACCCGTAAGTGAAATTCAATCTCTGGTTGGATAAATTTATTTATTTATTTATTTATTATTATTTATTAAAACATTTTTATGCCGCCCCATTCGCCGAAGCCTCGGGGCGGCTCACATCATTACGTTAAAATAATTATAATATAAATTAAAAATATAAATTCCTTTGTAAAATCAATTGAGCAAAAGTAAGGCATATTAATTAACATGAAATCCATTTTATCAAAATATATTGAATCTTAACTTACTGTGCATGGTAGGCAACCTAGAATGGCTATTTCCCTTAACTGTAGAAAGTAATAGCTTTGGCACAAGGAATAGATTTATTCCTTGGATAGTGGATACCAAAAGTTTTAGGGCTTCTTGTAATAGAGCTCCATATAATAAGCCTTTTATGTAAATGGCTTTCTGCACAATTTTAATTACATTTGCCTGCATGTGAGTTTGGCCTTATTGTTAATATACATAATAAGACCCCATATGGATTTTTCAACTATATTTTTTCTGCAATTCTCCTGGGTGCTGAGTACTGTACCTATATTTGTTTCAGTCCTGAGCAGCTGTATGTTTGGGATCTGGTAATTCTACCCTGAGTAAATTGAGAGGTGCCTAAAGAAAAGAACCAACCATCATGAAGTGGTTTATGAAATAGATGAAAGAAAGCACTTTCATATAGTCCAATATGATGACTTCTTTTTAGTTTTTATATGGTTTAAAGACTCCTTTACCATCTCCTCTTGTTATCTTGCCCTACGAAAGAGAGTGTGTATTATGCTGTGATATTTGGTATAAGTTTGTAGGGAGAAGAAAGCCAAATGCTGCTGAATATGAATCCCTCTGTCTATCTACATAAAGGCACATTCATAAAGTTAGACAACCTAATCTTTTGGGTTTTTAAAATCCTGAGTTGTTGTAAGTGAGCAAGCATGCTGTGTATGCACCCTGGTTATCCCTGCTAGGCTTCTGCCAGTAGGAACAGTTCTTTGGCATAACATTTCAATCCAGAATGTTTGCTTGTCTCTTCCCAACATAATTAGAAGTTAGAAACTAGGTTTAATCTCAGGCTTAATCTCAGGAGTGTGTGCGTGTTTCAATAATTTTAGTTTCTTATGGGCTTGGAGAGAGAAAAGCCTGAATATTATCCCATGAAAGAAAATGCCACTACTTAAGACACCCCTCTAAGTTTCAATTTCAGTCTTGCTAGTAAAACACTAATCTGTTGTTTAAACTGTGTGCAGAGGGGGGCATGTTTGGTACAGGAAACAACTGAACTCACGAAGTGTAGCAAGTAATGTTGTAATAGCATGTATGTAAATATAAATGCAGTGCAGATTGAAAACATTATGTAAATACTTCATTACTTCTAAATAGCCCTGACTTAAAGACACATAGTTCAAATTAGAGGAGTGTGAGGCTAGCATTTGTCTACTTTGGAGAAAGAGCTATAATGTAGAACAATACCAAAGGTAGTGAGAATCAGATTTTTTTTAAAAAAAAATATGTTATATATCGCATATTCTTGTGGGTGCTTTCAGCTCCTTGAACTACCAATCAAAATGTGTTATGTCTTTCTCCTTTAGGGATGTTTTGTGGAAAGGAGAAAAAGATGAAATAAGTGGTGGGAATATAAGGGAGAGTTAAAAACTGAAGACATTGTTGGCAGGACCGCCTATAAACATCAATGAATGAGGCAGGAGAACCACAAAATAAAAAATAAAAGTGTCTGGAAGCACCTCTAGTTAACAGAATAGGCCCCATGGACCCCATTGTATAGAATCATTGTGCATGTGGGGAGCAAAGTCTGAAAAAGCCATTGCTTAGCAAAATTCATGAATCCCATACTTCCTATTTCTAGAAATAGAGTGCCAGTTTCAGGCTTTAAAAAATACTTTTGTTTCTTAGACACTTGAAGAAAAGGATGTAGGGATTTTTCCTTTTTCATTTGAGATTGTGAAGCTACTATCCTAGAATCCCCATTATGATGACTGAAAAAGTATTTTTTTAGCATGAAGTCTTGAGCTGAGCAAAAAAACCCCATTTCTTATCTGACAGGTGTAGAGAACGCTATCAGTCTTAAGACTGGAGCTCAGAGACCTACTTTGTTGTGTGAAATTCTTTGAAAAGTTATGTTGCTTGTACTGGCTGGTCTGGTGCTTTTATTTATGAATCTGGAATCATGGATGATCTGTTCTTTTTCAGTGCCATCATGACTCATGCTTCTGTTCCCAAGGCTGACAGAGAAGCCCTTGGAATCTCTGATACCTTAATTCGCATGTCTGTTGGTTTAGAAGACTTAGAAGACATACTAGAAGATCTGGACCAAGCTTTAAAGGCAGCAGTAAGTCACTCCAGAATTTAATGGTTCCAGTGTGAGATTGATTTCCTTTTATCTTTTTATTATTTCCTTTCACTTCAAAAATTGATAGTAATTTTGACAGAATCTCGCCCTTCCGTTTGTCAAATAGGGGACCCAAACATATGCCCTAAAACATGTGTGGGAGGAGTGGCTTTCATTTTGCAGGAACTTAGCACCAGACTGGGCCCAAATACCAATGTTCTAGTACATTTCAGGGGGCTATTTTACACATAGAGAAGTTTTAAAACTAGACAGGAAACACCTCTCAGATTCAGCGTATGAAACATTTTCCAGAAAGATCCTGGAATGCATGTGGAGTTTCTGCAGGAGGCCAGAGAGGCTTCTGCTCTCTCTCTAGGCCTTCCTGGACCACACTGGTGTCCAATTTCCCTCACCCCACACCATGTCCTGATAGGGATTATCAGACTGAAATTACTACCCAAGGTTTCCCATGCTGTTTATGTCCCAAAAAGACTAAAATGCTCAAAAATGCCTTGTGCTGCTACGACAAGGAAAAAGTTGCTTCAGGAGCCAGAGGGATCTACCTTTACTTCAGTACTGTCACCTCCAGCCTTCCCCAAACTGGTGCCTCCAGATACATTTATTTATTTAACATAGTTCCATCCTGCCCTTTTCCCTTTCAAGGAATTCAAGATGGCTTACATAATTCTCCTCCGCTCAATTTTGTCCTCATAACAACCCTGTGAGTTAGGTTGGGCTGAAAATCTGTGACTGGCCCAAATTCACCCAGTGGGCTCTTTGGCTGAGTCCCAGCCCAGAGGTCTTGAATTACCCATGAGCTCCAAATCTCCTGAATCTCAATCCAGCATTTACTGCACCACACTGGCTCTCCAACTCTCATTATGAAGGAAATTGTAACTCAGTGATTTGAAGGACACCAGGTTTGGAAAGGCTGTCTGACACAGCGAGGCAGTAACATTCCAGGGTATCATCAGAGGTCTTTTGAGCTCAGAGGTCCTGAAAATGCTGAGCATCGAGCTACAGATCCTTTTTATGTCAGTAATGTGCCCAATGCAATGGGGCCCTTCCCCCATCTTAAAAAAGGAACAATTAGGTAACCCAGATTTCACCTTCAATATCATCTTATATGCGTACCTTGCCAACTTGCAGAAAGCAAGTGTTCTTTGTCGTGGTCTCTGTGTATCACACTTATGGGTGATGCACCTGTGCAGTGCTCTAGTTCGGGAAGATTCTCTTAGCCCAACAGTTTTTGGCGGGAGCCCAACCCCCCTTCCCCCTAGTATAAATAGACAGGCTCCTGCCATTTTGTCAGTTCACTTTCAATTGCCTCTTGCTGTGCTCTGGGACTCTCCTTGCTGTTCACTACTTAGAATTACCTCAGCCTGTTTCGCTTAATTTTTTTCTAATACTACCACTCTTTTCAGCCTTCTCCCTTTTTCACTCTTAACACTTCTCAATTCCCTTTCTTCTTCTCCCCTTGCTGCTTTTTTCCTTACAACTCCTTCACTACACACACACACCCTTCTATTGTTCTCTTTCCTGCACTTATCTTTCTTTCTTGATCTATATCTACTCACATTTCCCCCTTCTTCAATGGGTCAGTGGCCAGCCTTCCAAAAGTGCATGAAATGCAGTATCAAAATGCCTTCAGTGGATGGCCACTTACTTTGCCTGCTCTGATTGGGTGATGGACATTGCATGGGTAAGTGTTCACATTGACAAGCTTTTACCAAGTAGGCTAGAAGAAATTGTGGAAGATGCTTGAGGAAAGAGCTCTAGCAGGTATGCATGAGACCACTGGTGAAGGCTCTGGAGACAAAGGGTATGGACGTGTCCTGCCATAAGAAGAAACACATGGAGTCAAAGTACCCAAAATGGGACAAGTCTAAGAAAAGGAGAAAACATCACTTCGATTCTGAGTCTTACTCTATGAATCCTCCATAGGATGTTGAACCAGTGGCAATCTCAGTACTGACAGTTCTGATACCAACAGCATCTCCAACCCTACCACCCTCTGTGCATTCAGTATGGAGAAGTCCTAGAACCCCATCAAGATCAGAAACTGAGACTGTATTGCCAACATCCATATCTGAGAGAGATATGAGACCCTCCACCAAGAATACAACCACTCTCTGAGTGGCCACCTAGACAGAGTGTTAGCCTGCCAGAGGAATCACAACTACAACCCCCTCCAATGCTGCAACTGTATAGACTGCACTTGCCACATCCTTCACCAACCTCAACCCACCATCCAATCCACTCTGTAGAATCAGACCCGCATCAATATCGAAGACCAACATATTGGATGCCACCATATCCTCGCTATAGGACAACTCCATTCATCCATATGAATACTCATGGCTTCCACTCTGACCTCGTCCACCTCAAAAACATGAATGTCCATCCACATGAGGTCAGGTGTTGACAACACAGCCTCAGACTACAAAACCAACATCACCACCTCCATCCTCTTTGTCATTGTCTCACATGAACTATGTCTCTGATTCAGACTCACATCTAATGCTGAAGAAGCAACATCAACCTCTTTGGAGAATGTGGTCTCTACACAAGGACCCGGTTCACCAGGAGAGAGCCTACTAGGCTGCATTTCCGAGCAAGTAATCAGAATGGCCTCATCCCTCGGGATCGACATTCAACAGACCACTGCACCAGAACAGGACATAGCCTATGATATGATCCAAATGGAGGATGCAGTTCCAGTGACTCTACCATTCATCCAGACACTGTAACAAGTGATGAAAGAGTAATGGGAGTTACAAAACCAACTTCGAGAAGACTGGAGAGAATGTATCAGGTCCAAGAACAAGATATTCCTTTTCTTCTTCATTGTGAACCCAACACTGTTGTTGTAGAGCCAACACAAGGCAAGCAGAAACAAGAACATTCCGCACTCATGGATCAAGAAGGATGCTGAATTGTCTTGATGGCTCACTGTATTTATTCTACCATGGGACTTAGTACTTGTATTTCAAATTACGAAGCAATGATGGCACACTACCAAGTGTTTTTATGGCAGAAAATGGAGTCTCTAGCCCACTCCCCGACCAACAAAGGAAATTGGCTAGAGTCTTCATTGGAGAAGCAGTGCAACTCTCCAAGCAGTGAATCACAATAGTGAGACATCATGACTGTGATCTGGGGGCACACATTGGGTCATTAGCTCTATGTTGACATGCTTAGCTCCGAGCAGCAAACCTTCCGCAAGAGACTGGGATGTGAATCAAGGACATGTCATTCGATGGAACTGGACTGTTTAATACTAGAATGGACAAGAGACTGGATGTGATCCATAAAGTGAGACTCACAGCTCGGCATATGGAATTTGTAGCAAGCCATCAAAGACCATGTAAGAGGCCATGTGACATGCAATTTTGCCCCTTCCAGCCTAATCAACGAAGCTACCTCAGCAGACGGCAGCCTTACAGCATCTTTCAAACTGGCCTCACCGTACCAATGCTACCTGTTCTCAGCAATCCAGGAAAAGGCTAGATACTGATAAAAGACATTGGGAAGTGCAAACCAGCCATTTCTTTACTCAAACATACCCTTTTGGGGATTAACTGAAAGACCATCTCCCCATCTGGGAATCCATCACATCCTATGGGTGGGTCCTGTCCATTATAGAACATGGATATAAAATTGAGTTTGAGACTCTGCCTCCTCTCAGAACAGTCTGTAGAACATCACCTTCTCCAGTCCTTCAAGAAGAGATCAAAACACTGTTAAGAAAAGGAGCAATCCAAATAGTTGACCGATCAGAGAGACAGCATAGTTTCTACTCTAACTGCTTCACTGTCCTGAAAAAAGATGGAGGTCACCATCCCATCCTAGACCTGTGCGGAGTAAATCATTTCATAAAAATAAGGAAATTTAGAATGACCACCTTGCAGACCATTTTATCATTATTGCAGCATGAGACTGGTTCACCACACTGAACTTAAAGGATGCTTACTTTCATATTAGCATCCATCTCAACTGTAGACACTTTCTTTGATTTGAGGCCAATACCAAGAGTTATGAATTCAGGGTGCTTCCATTTGGACTGCCCATGGCACCAAGAGTGTTTACAAAGTGAATGGCACCAGGATATGCACACATCAGGCTCCAAGGGGTGCAGGTTTACCCATATTTGGATGATTAGCTGTTGGTCTCTTCCTCTAGAGATACACTCCTCCAATCCATCTCTGTAACATGTAACCTTCTACAGCAACTCTATGTATAATGAAAAATCTGCACTTTTTTCTTCACAGTCAATTACCTACTTTGGTGCATGGATAGAGGTGCTTCCTGCATGAGCATTCTTGCCCATGAACAGTATAGAAGACTTGTTGGCAAGGGGTTCAAGGGCTCCAGACCAATCTTACAACCGCCATATGAATGGTCCAGCAACTACTTGGCCAGATGGCTTCCACAGTAGCAGTGGTACAGTACACAAGGTTAGGAAGGTGACTGTTACAACTATGGTTCAACAGAATATATCATCTGGAACAAGACCTACTGAACTGGTGAACAACTGTGCCTCACCCAGTACTACAGACTCTAACATGGTCCATGGTGAATCAGGGAATGCCATTTTTGCTGTTGGAACTGACAACCACAATAACTACAGATGCATCCATGACTGGATGGGGAGCTTATTGCTTGACGTACCAAACTCAGGGGACATGGCAAGGCTCAGAACAGAGAAGACATATCAACTACCTGGAACTCCTGAGAATATTCAAAGCCCTCTCTTCCTTCCAAAACCTTATAACAGGACAACATGTACAAGTTGGTATTGACAACATTGTCAGCGTCTGGGGCGTGGGCGGCTGGGAATCAGATCAGGGCACTGGAACCAAGACAACTGGCACAATATACAGGCCCATTCCAAATCATAGTCAGGAAGTCCAAATGTCAAGGCAAGCAACAGAAGTGTGAGGTAGACTAGTCCAAAGGGTGAAAAGGAGCCAAAGCCGTCCAGGAGTCACAACTGCAGAGACAAGCCGAGGAGAAGTGGATACCTGGGAATGGAGCAGAAGCTGGAGCAGGTGAAGCTGGGCATGGTCCAGAAGGAGAGCCAGGAGCAGGTTCCAGAAGGCACAGGGAGCTCCAGCAACATCAAGCCACTTTATTCCTGAGGCAGCATCTGGAGGGAAGAGCTGGTTCTTATATAGCTCTTCCCCCAGGACTCCCAGGTGGTGTTCATAACATCCCAGGTGGCTGCAATTGTCTGTGGACCTAGTCCTGCAACCACCAGGCTGCTATTCTGGTCTCTGGCCAGAAGAGGGAGCCCTGGTGCTGCCTCAGAACCTTACAAACACGACAACCATGTTCTATGTAAACAAACGGGGTGAAACAAAATCGACCAATCTGACCAACCTAGCTGTACACATCTGAAAGTGGTGGATCCATCACCAACTATATCCACCTAAAAGCAGTGCATGTGGCTGGAACGACAACATGGTAGCAGACTCTTTGAGCCGTCATTCCCTACAAACTCACAAATGGGAACTGAATGAGTGTCTGCAACCAACTCTTCCTGTAAATGGGTATGCCAACAATCAATCTGTTTACGATGGAACAGGGCAGAGCATGCATTCGATACTGCTCCAGAACCAGAATGGGATTGGAATCCCTCGGAGGCACATTCATGATACCATGGAAACACAACCTTTTCTATGCTTCCCACCATTTCCACTAAAAATAAAGACACTAGTGAAAATCAGAGAAGACAAAGCATCTTGCATCATGATAACCCCATGGTGGCCGAGGCAGGCGTGGTTTCCAACTCATCTGTCCCTATGAACATACCTACACCTACCAGAGACTCTAGACCTCATCTCCCAGGAACAGGGAAAAATCTTGCACCCAGACTTGCCAACATTGAAGTTGACTGGCTGGCTGATCCACTGATACTGGAACCATCAAACTTAGATCCCCAGATCCAACTCATACTGTAAGCTGCATTACAACCAGATACAAGACAATCTTACGCAGCCAAGTGGAAAAGGTTTTCACACTGTGGCATGGATCACAGGTTTGAGGCATCTACCACTATGATCAACAGTGTTCTACTTTTCCTCCATTTCTTACATCAGAGCGGACTGAAACTTACTTTCATTAAAGTATACTTGTTTGCAGTCTCACACTACAGAGGATAAATCAAGGGATCTTTCATCTTCTCCCATCCACTTGCACAACAATTCATAAAAGATCGTCACAATCTAAACCCTCCAATCCAGTCCTTTGTACTGACACGGAGCCTGTCAGTAGTGCTACAGGTCTTGATGAAACCACCGTTTGAGCCACTCAAACCAACAGACCTTAGACTCCTCTCCTGGAAGACCTCATTTTTAGTAGCAATCACATCAGCTACATAAGCAAGCAAACTGTGTGCACGCAGAGTAGATCCTTCATATCTAAACTTCCATACAGAGAAAGTCAACCTGCACCTTGATCCTGAATTCCTGCCAAAAGTAGCTACTGCTTTCCACATAAGATGGGGTATCATTTTGCCAGCCTTTTTTCATTTCCTGTGACTTTGACTGAATGATCCCTACATACCTTAGATGTATGGAGAGCACTTGCCTTTTATCTATCCCACACAGTTTCCACAAATCCAAATGACTTTTTGTCAAGTATGGTGAGCATGCCAAAGATTGGATCACAACAACTATCAAATTGGATCATGGACACCATCAGGCTAGCATACCAGCTGGTCAACTTAGACTTGTCCGAAAAACCTGGAGGACACTCCACCAGAGCAGTCTCCACATCAACAGCTCTCTGTACTGCCATACCACTGGATGAGCTCTTCAAAGCTGCTATGTGGTCGATTCCATCCACATTCATCCGGCACTACTGACTCAATGCCAAACCTGCATGTATTCTACAGTGTATATTCATACATAGTTCATCCACAAGAATGAATGTGTTTAACTGTGTGCATGCGTAGATATAAAAACATACACACTATCTTGACAGTGCACTCATTCTGCCAATACACATACACTTCCATATTTCCTCCATAGTCAATGTTATGCCTGAGAATGCTCAATATTGTCATTCAGCCAATGCAAGGCCAATATGTTTCCATTCTCCTGCATAATCTCTCACACTAGCCCTTTCAAAGCTACTACTCAGGAAGGCTATGTATAATTTCCTGTACCCAGAATACCCAGACTGAGGGAGAATAGCAAGAAGCTATTGTGCTTATGTCTTGTTTCCAGGCTTCCCATAGGCATCTGGTTGGCCAGTCTGGGAAGAGAATGCTGGACTAGCTTTCTAATATATATATATTAGATGTATATTTATGTGCTTGTATGTGTATGGCTTCTATACAGTACTTTTAAATTTTTAATCTTTCTATACATCCTAGAGAAGCTTTGGCTATTGGGTGGTATAGAATCTGATAAATGAAATGACCAGTATGATGCAGCATGGTTTTTACATTTCCATTAGTCCATTCTTTCAGTTTAATCTCTAAGAATGTTTTTTCCGCATGAGAGCAAATTTCAGTTTCAGAGAACCTCTCAGTAGTATGTTCCAGAGGTGGGAGGCACTGAAGGCAAAAGGGACAGACTCAAAATACCAAACAGATTAAAAATATCAGCAGATTGTAGCACGAAGCTCTTGCTGCCAATAACTAAGCTTTGAGAGAGGCATTTCAATCTTCCTAGGAAAGGAAAAAGTGCAAAAACCGGAAAACTTCCAAATGTTGGTTGGTCATGGAAAACAGAATGGGACAGGGGAAAGTGGTACAGCCATCTGGGCCACCCTGGGGGCCCACATTTGGCTTGTGGACCTGAAGTTCAACACCCAGGACCTAAGATATTTCCTTCTGATAGTAATGATGCTGCAAACCCTTCCATGCTTGCAAAGCACCCTTATTTCTCTACTGGGCTGAAGGTAGAGTACAGGCATTCTTCTTCCACCCCTGTCTTAGTTGGGCAGGAAAAAAAGTTTTACTTCTGTTTAGTGAAAATGGAAAGGGGAGCTTTCTGATGCAGTACAATGCCATTTTATACACATCCTATTCAGAAGTAAAACACTTTGAGGGGACTTACACCTGCATAAAACGAGTATTGGATTGCAACCATAGAGGATTGCTGGAGACTAACTTAGAATACACACCTAACAAGGAACAAACAGAATTTAGATGGTAACTGTTCTACTTTTTCAAAGCAGAATTGCTTTGAAACCTGTGATACATTTGTCAACAGACATGCTCATTTTACAGACTACTACTTTTCTAATATAGCTGAAGAATGCAGCTAGGAGACTAAGGACACAATCCAGGGGCTTCCAGCCAGTTACAGACCATTTTTCTGTCCAAACTTTCATAGGCTTGCACCTTAAAAGCCTAAATACTGGTTTATGGTCTGTGTGTTCCAAATGTGCCAGCTCTGTGACCATTCAAATAATTTAAAGACAAACAGTGATGTAACTCCACTTGCTTTTTATTTCTGCAGGTCCCTGATTATAGAATCTATAACTAGGACATTGAAGACTTGAAACCACAATTGATTCATGTGCAGCTTAAATATGAAAAAATAAGCAAACTGAATGCTCAACTCCTCATGAATTTTTGCTCAATTAAGTTTCATAATGAAATAAGTATGTGTTTTAACCTTTCTGAGAGTAAGCCAAAGGTGCCTTTTGATCTCCTTAACCCGCTGATTCAGCAAGTGCCTTTGCATGTGTCATCCCTTCGTTGTTGTTGCTGTTGTTGTTGTTAATATAAAAATGCCATTGTTCTTTTTCAACAGTAGCTCTTGGGTGAGTGTGATTAACACTCACCAGTCATCTCCAAGTGATATTGAACTTAGTTTATATGCTGTGTTAACGTTGTGGCTGTATCTGAACTGCAAATCATGAAGCCTCCAGTTCAGATCTCACTTCTGCCTTGCACTCACTAGGCAGGCTTGGATAAGCCTCTCTCTCTTTCCTTGAGCCTGAACCCCACCCCTCATCTAAACAAGGCAGGGGAACTGCTCTGAAAAGCACTATACAGATATTATTACATTGGACAATTAAAGCATTGCTATTATATTAGGCCCCCTCTTTTCACTGTTATACATGCTGCTGAATGTTATAAAAAGTTATCTGACTCAGAAAAAGATTACTTCCGATGTCAAATATGATTTCAGATCATTTCCTTAGACTAGCAGTTATTTTTCCTGTATAATACTGAAGAATGAATCATAGTCAGTTAGATGGCCCCTTATGTGTTGCTTATTAAGATAAATAAATATATCTTGAAATTGCTTTGGTTTCTGATATGAATTGGCTATCTATATAATTATTTCAGTGACCTTTCTTGTCTTTATGTTGTATGACTGCTGTTGCAATATATGTTCTTCGTCGTGGCCTCTGTGCATCACACATGGGTGCTGTGCCTGTGCAGTGCCTGTAGCCGGGAAGATTCAAAAGCTCTTCATCCTCTGAAACTGCAGTTTTAGGAGAAGGTATGACAAAACCATTCACTCTCTGCATGTTGCTCCCTCTCAGTAGACCCATTGAACAGGAGACAGAAGGATTACTTTTCTCAGAGATTCTATCCTCCCTGGGGACCTCACCAGCTGAGGCAGTAGAGGACGGGGGGCACCTTTACCCTTCCAGCAATCCAAAGAGGCAACCAGCTAGTGGAGAGCTCTAAAGAAAGAAACACTATCTATGGAAACCAGCACAGCTGGTTTTCTCCTTGCACTGATTGGGCTACCTGGCCTGACTCACATGGCAGCTAAATTTCAGCTGGTCTGCTACAGCAGAAAAGGCTGATCTGCTTCCCAAGCAGCAGTAGCCCCGCTATTGAACTTTAAAAGAAGGAAATGGTGTGTGTGTGACTTAAGACCTTGTTGCTTTGGAAGCAAGTACACAAGAGATGATTGCAGAGAAAATGAACACTTCATATGGCAGGCAGTAAAAAAGAAAAAATGATTTAATTATTAAGTAGGACAACTTTGCTGGAGGTGTTGAGTTTATCTCTCCACTCCTAGTGCCAACATTGCTCAGGATTCCCCTAAAGCTGATTTTTACATAAAAAAACATGCTTATTAATTGCATTTGTGTCTACAAATGCAGAGTGTAGCAGGCCACACCAGCAAGGTTGTGAAACAATACCATGCATAAGAACTGAAAAGATGAAAAAGTTGATAATCTGGCAAGAGATGAGATTAGTGAGAGATACCTACAGCAAACTTAACTTGCTATTCTATTTTACTTTGAACAATACAGGTATAACTGCATTTGAATTGCTTGTTGAAGCATACACAAGTACGGAGGCTGGCCTCTCAGCCTATAATCTGTAATAGCTATTATTGCTCAAAGGAAGTCACATTTGCTGGGTATTTCACAGCATAATATCCTTGCTAGGCAAAAGATGCTGATGGGAACCTAGATGAACCTGATTTCATGTGTTTGCTTTTAAAATCATCTGAAAATGTGCTATGTTTCTTGTCGCCTTGTGGTTTTCAGGGCAGCAGTGAGGACTCTTGAAACTTTGGAGGCATAACTTAGATGACTACATGTGCAGTTCTATGCATGTTTAGGATAAAAAAGGCCTGCCATTCTCAGCATTCCTGTCACTATGCTCCTCTTAAAAACAAAGAAAATACTAGTTTACTGTTTCCTGCAGACACCAAAAGATGTTATGCCATATGGAGTTCACCGCAGTGTCTTCTCAGAGTAGAAACTAAACTAATATGTCTTGTTTCCCACTGAACTATCTCATGAGATTACAGCGCTGCCTACTCTGGCCATGCTAGGGTGCTTCCAGGTTAGGTTTTATCACGCAATCTTCCTGCCTCATACACAACATTTTACACAGAGCTGTGGACAATATCTACAAGCCTTTGCATGTTTTGCCACCGTTCTTTCTACAAAAACAATCCCAGCATTGCTGTACAGTGGAGTTCATCAACATGGGAACTTAGCCATGATGGGTTTTTCTGCTGTTTGAAGCTAGACTGTTGCTCATAAGGTGGCTTATGTTTTGTCAATAAGCTACCCTGGCAACTTATGGCTTGTTCTAGGATCCAAACAAGCCAGGAAAGCAATTTTATCACAGGCTGAACCAGATTGTTTATCACATGTCATGTCACATGAACCCACTCCCTATTTCACAGCACTTACTATGTTTACCTGATCTGCCAGACATTGCCAGTGAGTATAATTGTGGCTTGTGGCAATAACATAATTTCCAATGAGAGAGACGACTACTACTATATTGATTGTCTTTAAACTTTCACTTTTCACTTCACTGTTGGAAGAATCTAGGCTTCTGGCAAGCTTTATGTAGTGATAGGATAAAAGCCCCCCATCACTTATCTCACTGGATGATGGGAATTCTGGTGAAATCTGACTCTACCATTCTGCAAGGAGCATAGTGGGTCAGATTTTACTCCCCACTGAAAAACAGGCCTGATGCCCTTGACCATTGTACAGCTGTATTTGAATGACGTGCTTATAAGGCACAGCACACTTTGTTTCAAAGAATCGTAACACTACACTATAAAGGCCAGTGAATTGTACTGCAGTGTGCATCCATCTATGCATTATGTGCAATTATGCTGTAAATCAGAGCTATGAATGATTCCTAAGACAAGCACTTTTCTGATGTTTATGTCTTTCCACTAAGGAAGGAAGGAAGGGCGTTGAGAACTGAAAAGCTCGTTTGTGAACTGGGAGACCTTTCTCATCTCTTGGAATCATACTCCTTTTTTTCGGGATTACCCCTTCCCCTGAGTCATACAGATGTGACTTAGAATTACCACTCCACAGCATTATCTATATCAGGTTGTAGCTATTTTAACTTTCCTGATAATGGGCAGATACAATTTCCCATTAAACAAGCAATAACTTGATACAGGAAAGTATGTAACCTTTGGTCAACTGGATGCCTCTGTTGGAGGCAACTGACCATTTTACTACAAATTCACACCTGACAAATTTTCTTACCACCTGGCCAGAAGATATAGTCAGCAAATTTGTGAATTAATTTATTTTGTGGCAGTCTGATTATCTGTATAATATTTTCTGAATATTCCAGTTGTGTGATAAAATAAAAGGTATTTGCAAAATGCCCTATCTTTGCTACTGGTTGTGTTTCCAGATGGAGGGCTTCTACCACTCAGATCTTCAATCTTTTCTTCCTTAATGGTTATTTATTTTATATTGTTATTTTTATATTGTTATTTTTGTATTTTATTTTATGTTGTGAGCTGCCCCGAGGCTTCGGCGAATGGGGCAGCATAGAAATGTTTTAATAAATAAAAATAAATAAATATAGTGAGATAAAGGATGGAATACGTGATGGGAAGTCATGGAACAATCACAAGTGGCTGTTATCTCTGCAAAGTTCTATGAAGAAGGCAGGTTGATTGCACATTAAAAGCCATGTCTGGGTTCTAGATCGAGTTGGTTTTGTTATTCTAGATCAGTGATGGTGAACATTTTAGAGACAGAGTGTCCAAACTGCAACCCAAAACCCACTTATTTATCACAAAGTGCCAACACTGCAATAAAACCTGAAAACTGTGGTTTTAGTTTAGAAAAAAACAACTCACAGTCAGTCCAAGCAAATATATATAACCTTGGCAGCGCACTGACCAGCCATGCAAAATCTCGGAGTTGTGGCTGATGAGTCGTGGCTTGTGATGTTATTGCCTGGCACTGCAACTGCATTCCAAGCATGCACATGGCCCCTATCAGCTGATGGGGCAACTTGGCTCACATCCCAACAAAGAGGGTTCTGCGTGCCCACTGTGGCAAGTGTGCCATAGGTTCACCACCACTGCCCTGACCCTACCCTGGTGCACTCCCCTAACCCTAACATCGGGTTAAAGTTCCATTGAAAATAATGGAATTTTTAAAATCCTCCTTTCCGAGCATGCACATGGCCCCTATGTGAGCTGTTATCCGATGCTCAGCTGCTGGGGCGATGCTGGGGCAACTTGGCTCGCATGCCAGTGTGTGCTATAGGTTTGCCACCACTGTTCTAGATATATATTTGAAATCAGACATATCTGAAACACAGGTAGGATGAGGTTTTTTGCAGTACACAGTTTTGAAAGTTATATAACAAACACAGACTAACCAGTTGTGGTTTGTCGTTTGGGCTGGCTGGGAGGAGGACAGGCCACCATAAGCAGAGTCAGCTAGATACAGTTTTCTACTCATCCTCTGTAATAAAAGGAATCAGTCTTTTGGGTCCACAGCAGACAGCAATCCTTGGTAGAAAAAGGAGACTGAGGCAACTGAACCCTGAGCTCATACTTGCAAGGCAGAATGCGTGCATGGGGAAAGAATCAGCAGGCAAGACACAACGGCATGCACCAAACCCAGGATCTAGCAGGTGTAGCAGAAAACTGACCAGGATTCTCCATTCCCATGGCCAGCTGGGCTAAAACTCCCATCCAGAATTTCTCTGGTCACAGAGCCTTGGACTAGACAGTGTGTTCTGCACATGACAAATCCAAGCTGGGGGTGGGCAGGGGGATTGCTTTATTAAATGATAAAATATAGGGGTGGAGGGTACTAAAACAGCTAAAAGGATAAAAAAGGGGAAGGGGGGCTGGAAGGGATGGGGAATTTGGAGAGCAGCAACAAGTTTACAGCCAACCAAGAAATCCCAGGTCTTGTTGGCCCACTGGGTCATAAAATAACAAAGCTCATCCTAGTCTCAGCTATGCACTCAAACACTATATCTGTGTCAGGCAGCACAGGGTAGCTCAGCTTCCTTTGGCATGGAGCTATGGCAGCCAAAGCAGAACCATTCCTTTTCAGGCCTGGGGCTTTATTCCCAGCCAGCCTGGGTCAGCTGACCCGCAAGATGATGTGATGACCTCCAGGTGTAGACCATTTGCCCCTCATTGCAGCTATCTCCTGTGTCCTTGGGGTGTAATTTACTATATCTCTTCCTTATACATTACAGGAGCTGAGCCCTGCCTCCTCCCCCACCCAACCTTGGGTGCCAGCTTCCCCCAAGGCTAGCCCCTGGTTTTTCTGGCATTTTACCCCATGTCAGTTAACCCTTCCCTGCCTCCCGGAGTTACCAACCAGTTCATGCTGCAGCAGGATCTATTGCAATGCACCTAAATGACGAATGGAAAAGGAAAGTTGTAGGAGGGGAACATTGAAAGAAAGAAAAAAGTAAGATACACTGAAATCAGTTTGATGAGCATGACTTATTCCACACAATTGCTCCTACTTATTCTCATTCACCCTGTGCACCAGCTTAAAAAGAATGGGTTTTTTATAAGGGCACTGGCCAATTTACAGTAAAAGCATATGCCTGACTGTGCTGCCCACTTCTAGCATCTTTCTGGACTTGCAGTCTGAGACAAGTAAAGGCACACTCTGCTGCCTGGCTGGCAGTGTCCCAAGGGGCTCAGCAATGTCTGCTGCCCTGCTGCCTCCCACTCATTCTGGCAACAACAGCAATAATGGTGGCACCATTTGTTTGGATGCTCTGCACAAACGTGTGATAGCATCTTCTAAAGAGCAACTGATCAGCTCTTGGCTTGTCACATAAACCCAGAAGGAAAAGCTTGATTCTTTCACATGTGTAGGGAAGCAGGATGAGAGCCATATTTATACTATCAGGAAATCTCAGAAGACACTACATTCAGCTTCAGCAGTTTATTGGCAGGACACCCCGGGAATCCCTCTCTGACAGAAAATACAACAGTGCTGCAGGTGGATTTTTGGATGGGTAGTCAGGTGGGGGCATTGGCCTGCCCATACATAGCTTAGGCCTGCCTCTGGGGTAAATGCTGTCTGTAAAATATTTTCTACTTGTTCATGGATTGGATTCCCAAAATATTGAAGATACTGCAATCCTACCTTAGATTTCCTTGGATTTTATTTTTACTCAGTTCAGAGAGCCAAACTGAGAGCTAGACAATGAAAAAGCGTACTAAGATCTGCTTTAACAACATTTTGAAAGTACTTCTTAACAAGTATCTTAACTGCATGCTCTGCTTAAAGTAAAAGCAGGAAATGTTGAGGCCTGGAAGTGATCCAGAATGTTGTTCGTATCTTAAAAAGGAAGGGTAAAATCATCAAGGTGGAGCTCTAGTGTGCTTTACTCAAGCTCACTGACATATTATTTCAACCTATAGAGTGCATTATAAAAGACGGGAAATCATCTTTTGCATTAAAGCCTGGAGAAAACAGAGGCAGCAGGGAATCATTTTTATTGCTATTATCCACTTATTCATCAACAAAAACTCATAGTAAGATGCAACTCCTCATTTACTCTTTGTTTAACTTGAATTGTTCAGTTTTTGTCCATTGATGTTTCCTCCTTACCCTGGAGGAACATTTTTGTTTTTCATCATCAGTCACTGAAAACCATCCAACAAAAGCTGTAGAAATGGTCACGTTTGACTTACAGGAAAGTTTCTGAAATAAAAATGCAAAGATGATTTGTTATCATTAAGTGGCACTTATTTATGTAGGTCTTGCCAAGCACTACAGTACACACATTCCATCTCAGCAGAGACATCTACCCTTTCGTACAAAGTAGAGCTGTTGACTGTCACTGTTGGCCTACTAAATGGAAATAAAGAACCGCTTTATTTTCTTTGAATCAGTCTGAGTTGACTTTGGGGCAGAATGTTTCGGGCAGTCCGTGTATTTATGATTCAAACATCTGGACGTGACAAGATTAACTACATTTCAACAGAGGTTAGCACTTTGTTCTACAGCTTTGTAACTACATCAGTTATGGCTTTGTCAGATATAAAAATGGATGCTCTGGCAATTTGCATTATCCAAGTATTTGTTCAATTGCTTTCTTCTCCTTCATTGCTTCTAGCATCCTGGATTGTTTAAAAGTATTTTTTCTTTTTCTTCCATTATATTGATTTCCCACTAAAAATTATTGATTGTGTCCTTTTCATAGCACAAACAAACCATACTGTTGAATGATAAGTATAGCAATACACTTGCTAGAGCCAAGATTGGCCAGCTTGGACTGGCCAAAAGATTTAAGTAGAAAGCAAATGTGAACCAAACTCCCTCTGCTTGTTTTCAGTAAAATGTAGGAAGTTACTGTTTCCATCAGACCAAAGGCTTTCTTTAGCAGAGGATCTGCCTCATTATTTAAAGGAGATTATACTATGCTGCTTCTCCAGTGTGCCAGAACATTGAACTAAACTAATGTTGCTAAACTTAATGTTATAGATTGCCAGATTCATATGCAGTATCATCTGATTGAATGGATTTGTGCTTTAAAGGAAGAGGCCAATCTATAATTTTAATGGGAAGCAGTAAAGAATAAATAATAGGAGACAGATCTTCATGGTACTAGTGCTGTGGAGTGGACTAGGCAGTCGGCTGAAGGCATACCATGCTTATAGCCAGTGCTTTTTGTGTAAAAAAAAAAAAAGGTGCCGAACTCACGTCTTGGGGGTCACACTTTTACACTAAAAAAGATTTTCAATTCACCAACTTTTTTTGAAATAAAGAACTTATTTACCTTTTGCAAGTAGCCAGTCATTCTACACACACATAAACATAATGGTTGCCGCCGGCCGTAAGCACTCAGCACACAACCACATGACCGATCCCAAGCTGAACAGTGCCATCACAACCAGCGTGGACACACAAGCAGCCCGCAGGCACCATTTTAATGATTTTGCCACCGACCTGCTATGCCTGACAGGGCGATTCAAAGTCACTTGGAAAAATCCCTTGGAAAAATCCATAAAAAAAAAAGGTGCCGGAACGTGGTTCCAGTGCATTCTATGACGAAAAAAGCCCTGCTTATAGCAAAATAAAGTGCCAAAGGAGGAAATGAATGTAAGTCTTTCTTTTTAAACATAGGCTGGATCCAGATTGGCCTTCGTGTAAATGGAAGGGATGAGAATCCAGCAGATGCTCCCTGCAAGAATGAGGGGATGGGGAGATTATCTACTCCAATTCTCCCTTTGGTCTGCTTGGTGCCAGTCATGTACTTCCAGAGAGGGTCACCCATCCCTCTACTGTGGTCTTACAGAAGGCATGGTGGACTGAAAGAGAAAGGATCAGTTATGAAGGTTGCCTCCCATCCCCTTTTCTCCAATGTAGATGGAACCATGTAAAACACCACTAGGTTGCATCCAGAGGTGTCACTCTGTTAGTGGACAGAGGTCCAACTCATGGAATGCACCTTTCCCCAATCTTCAGGATTCCTGTCCTCTCTGAGGCGCTGCATCTGAGCTCGCCTTTTTTCAGGAGTGTCCTCTCTGTGTAGCATTTCTGGGGACTCTTGGTGAAATGAGGGAGCATGGGGAAATTACTGTTGCAAACTCCTTCAGCCAATGTGATATTGGATGGAACCTATCACATTCAACTTGAGACACCAGTGGAATTAAGAGAGAAAGATGACTAATAATCTTATTCTTTATGTCCATCTCTGCTCTGTGTGTGTGTGTGTGTGTGTGTGTGCGCGCGCGCACGCACGCACGCACGCACGGAGGGTGTATTACTGTGGCAGATTCTACGCCGATGTACATGTTTGCACTGAATGTCTGAAAAGAGTATTCTATTCAGGCAGATTTGGAATAGACAGAAGCTTCTGAAAGTGCATCTCTACATGTACGAGCCATTATTCAGATATCTGGTGAATGTGCATTAGGAAGAGTGACTATTGCTCCTTTAGGCTTGGGAATAGGTCTATGTCTCAGTAGATACGTATAAGAGTGTACTGTTTTATGCTCTCATGGAATACATGGAGAAGCACACCATAACAACTGGAAATTCATGTGTTGTCATGTGCTTTATGAAGAGCACTGAGGATGAGGAGGAGGTAGCCTTTAAAAAAAGGCAGCAGGTCTTATTACTAGCAACTGGTGTACACTGGCATACTGCCTCTGGTACTGGAGGAAGCATACAGCCAAAGGTCTAGTAGCTAGTGATAGCCTTATCCTTTGTCCAATCTCTTTTTAAAGTCATCCAAATTGGTCACCATCACTACCTTTGTGGCACTGAATTCTATAGTGCAACTAAGCACTGTATGAAGAAATACTTCCTTCCATCTGGCCTGAATCTCCACTAATCAGCTTCATGGAATGACCCCTGGTTTATGTATTTATTTGGGATATTTCTAACCCATCCAATTACTATGCATCTCCAGACGGCTTACAAACAAATTCAATAAATACAACAATATAAAAGATCATAAATACCCCAAGAATAAAACAACCCACAACTGAAGTAAAACATGATTAAAATCTTTTAAACATTAAAATACTGGGTGAATAAAAAGGTCTTGACCTGGTGCCGGAAAGCATATAATGACGGTGCCAGGTGGACCTTTCTAGGGAGCGCATTCCATAGCTGGGGCGCCACCGCAGAGAAAGCCCTCCTTCAAGGAGGGTTCCTGGAGCAGGGCCTCTAATGCAGATCTTAAGGTGAGGGAGAGCATGTAGGGAAAAAGACACTCCTTTAGGTATCCAGGTCCCAAGCCATTTAGGGCTTTATAGCTCATAACCAGCACCTTAAATTGGGCCTGGATTTCAATGGGAAGCCAACAAAGATGATGGAGGACTGAAATTATATGAGAGTAATGACTGGTCCCCAACAACAATGTGGCAGCTCTGTTTTACACCATTTGAAGTATCTGGACCATCTTCAAGGGCAGCCCCATGTAGAGCGCGTTACAATAGTCCAACCTGGAGGTTACCAGAGCATGTGTCACAGTTGCTAGGCAGTGCTTGTTTAGGTAAGGGCACAGCTGATGGATCAGCCGAAGCTGAAGGAAAGTACTCCTCACCACCACTGTCACCTGGGCTTCCAGGGACAGTTCCAGGTTGAGGAGCACTCCTAAGCTGCAGACCCTGTCCTTTACTGTCCCTGGTTCTAGTATTATGGAAGGGGGAGAAAAATGTCACTTCCACTTCCTGCGTTCCATGCATGATTTTGTACACCTGTGTCAAATCTACCCCTACTAGCTTCTTCTCAAAGCCCAAACATAGCCAAATAAAAATTCAAGATTTGACATGGCTAGACATTATCTTAAGTTTCTCAACAATCTGGGCACAATGTGCAGTTTCATTATATTGATTTCTCCAAGTCCATGGCCAGTAGCAGCTGGTGTTTTGGATTTCTGATAGCTGTACTCTATATAAGTGAGATCTGGTCTATCCCAGATTTATACAGAAGGTCAATAAATTAACCTTCTTTGTGCATTGAAATAAAGTTCAGCAAGTTATTTATTTAGTAAATATTGAAAGAGGTATGAACAGAAGCATTCAGAATCATGAGCTGGACACAGTTTATGAAAATATACTTGGAAAACATCTTCAGATCTTCTATGGATGGAATACATTCAGGCCCCCATTTTGTAGGTGACTCAAACTGTTTCATTCCCATCATGTGTAAGGACTACCTTCCTTTTAATACTTCAGTTGTGGTATAATAATGGGATTGATGTCTCCAGGTGATGAATGAGGTAGGTTGTTTCCTGCTCACAAAGTGGGAAACACCAATAAAACCACCCTTCTTTCCCCATAACAATGTTGCACTCACCAAAAGCAAAAGGGCAATTGACTCTGAATGCATGGTGCAGTTCCCTTTTATACCCTTGCTGACCAGGTAGCAATGACTGAGGTTCATTGGTTTGAAATTCTGGCTGCAGACACTGATTGGTTCACATTTGCATCCAGGTAGTTCCAAGGCTTGCCTGGGAGGCTGGGCTACCTGGGAGGCTGGGCTTGGAGCCCTGGCAAGGGATTGCTTAATCCCTACCTTGTGGCTGACTCTGGTTTCACTGATATGGGAACCTGACCAGCCTGCTGTGTTTAATGCTGGCCAGCCAGGTATGTCCTACAACCCATCCCTTGGGTGTTTTGACAGCTCTTGGAATAAGGGAAAGATGGTGTCTGGGAGAAGCTGCTTAGAGTTTTTTCTGCTTCTGCTTAGCAGTGTTTTGTTTTAGCTAGTTATAAAATGAACAAACGACTGTTAAACTGTTGAACTGTTATTTTGTGGCATCGGAACTACATGTACCAGGAGGCTTTGAGGAAAGAAGGTAGGATAGAAATAAATATTTTGGACTGCCAGGTCTCTAGCAATGGGTACAGCAAAGAGCTGTTATCTCTGGGAATGTGCTGTGCTTGACGACAGCCAGCCTGGTATGTCCTACACTGTCCTTTCCTTGTCTCTTCCCTGGCCACTGGAGCACTGCATTTTCAGCCTCTCTGAGCTTTTCTGAGGGTTGGGGGATGGATTCTATGTTGAATTTCCCCTCCTGAGCTCATGGCAGTATCTATGTCCTTGATAGGGGGAATCCAAAAAATTCTATGGCCCCTTTGATGCTCTCCAGGGCCATAGGATTGCACTGTAAAATATATTCACTGGGATTGGAACATGGATAAATGATCTTCAATAACACCCCCCCACCCCCAACCCAGTCATGCTCTGGAGGATCTCCAAGCCCTACAGAGCTGCTTTTCAGGAAGTCTAGAGGGTTGCAGTTGGAAAGAAGGAACCACAAAGACCCCTTGTATCCCTCAAATGTAAGTAGATTTCAGCCAAGCATTAGTTTGTATCTAACCCAATGTTAGTATTTTCTTCATGGCAAACAAGGTTACTGGCAGTTGTGAATGATCCAAGCTAAGGGGCTTGGCTATAATTATTTATAAAACAGTGCATTAAATATTGTGTTGTTATTGGTTCTTCTCAAGGATGCTTGCCAAATCTTTCAAGGGTGACTGATGACTTCCAGACTCCCAGAGTGTGCTCTATGTTACTAAGTTTGGGTTACAGTAACAGGCTAGAATTCAACTTGCTCAATGTTATCATTTGTTGATTTAAAATTCAAGTTTCTAAAATAGCAAAGGATGCTGTTTCTCAGGAGTGATGATAAACTCAGTGTTGCTACCATTTTCAGGTAAAAATCTAACACTAATAGTATTTAGACTAAGGGCTCCATCCTAATGTTAATTGGATTAAATTAGCAGAACAGGAAAGGCTGTCAAAGCTAATGTCCTCAGTAAAGGAGGGAAATGCACAGGTAGTACTTATATTGCATCTTATACAAGAAATGGATTATGAATGAAATCAGTTTTTAAGATAGATAAAGGAGCAGAAGAGGAGATGGCAAGCTTCTAAACAGACATCTTGCCTGGAAATGGACAGGTCCAGTTTATTTTTCAAGAGACAATAACCACATTTTGCCAGAAGCATATTATTTACTGATTCCCAATGATATGATCTGCATCAGAGTAATCTACTTATTTTTATTGATTTAGAGTGCATGCCCAAAACACTAATGCTGATTCTGAGGAGGCTGGAATGGCGTGTTGGTGCCTGTCTGCCAGATGTGGTTCTACTGTGCCTCAGTGCGTGGAAAGTGTCTGGGGGTGCCAGGCAGAATGGCCTAAAACTGAGCATTGTGTCTGGAGTATGTGGCAAGAAGATATTGACTCTGCAGGGAGAGTTTTTAAGTTGATTGCCAAGTAAACAGTTAAGGCAGACTTAGGAAGCCTGCTTAAGGAGCAAAGGAATACCAAAGGTCTCTCCAGTCAGGGGGTTAGGCTCAGTGGCACAAACCACATAACTGAATTAGAGCAGGTATTGTGTAGGCTGCCTAGTGGCAACTTGTTGCTGTTGTTACATGCCCTCCAGGTATCTCCTATGTATGGCAGCTCTATGAATGAATACTTTCTAAAGCATTTTGTCTTTGACAGCCCTGTTGAACTCTTTTAAACACATGGCTGTGACTTCCTTTATGGGATCAAGCCATCTCATAGTTGGCCTTCCTCTTCTTCTTGCTAGCTTATTGTTTTCTCCAGTGACTCTTGCCTTCTCATGATGTGCCTGACGTACGATTTCAGTTCCATCTTGTTTGCTCCCAGAGAAAGTTCTGGCTTAATTTAATCTAGGACCTACTTGTTTGTCATACTGCCATTCAGGCTACGCACAAGCTTTCATCTAGCTCTCATTATTTTCTGATGTTCCAGCTGCAGTCTCCCTTTGAACTGATGATTAAGTTAAGGTATGCATGATCTTTCACTCTTTCAGTTTCTTCATTGCTGATCTTAAAGTTGTGTAATTCTTGATTTTTAGTTCAGGTTTTGCATTTTCTTCTTTACTTTCATCAAGAATCATTTCCATTCATTGCTGCTTTTGGCCAGTAAGATGGCATCATCTACATATCTTAAATTATTAATGCCAATTTTCATTCCTTATTCTTCTGATCCTAATTAAGCTTTCCTTATGATATGCTCTGCATACTGATTTAAGATAATGAGATACAATAACCTTTTCTAATGACATTTCCTATAGGAAACCATTCTGCTTCTCCATATTTTTTCCTAACATTAACTCCTCATGCATCAGAACAATAAAGTGCTATGGCGCCCCCATTTTTTTTCAGGACCGTACAGAGCTTCTCTTGATCCACACAGTCAATGGCTTTGCTGTAATCCATAAAGCATAAACTGATCCTCTTCTGAAATTCCTTGGTATTCTCCAGTAGTCAATGTATGCTTGTAAATTCCTCTTCTTCTTCTTCTTTTTTTAGAATCCAGTGTGAATGTCAGGCATCTAGGGTACAAATGTTTGTTTCAACACCTTGAATATGATTTTGTTTGCATGATTTAGACTTGCCCTAATACAAGTTATAAAAGTTTTATATGGAGAGCCTCACCTGTCCTTCCCCCTCCACCAACTGCAGGGTTTTTCCTTTCCAGTCCCTGCTCTGGAAAAAGTTAAAAAGACCCAAATTATATGAATGATTCACCTGCTCTCAGATAGCTCCTGATTGCCCAGCTGGAAGAGAACTGAAACAAAGCTAGCCTGAATCCACAAATCGGATCTTTCTCTAATCTGTTGAAATGTGCACATGTCTCTTGTTATCCTATGACTGGGGCAGCTGCACTTCCTTTGCAATATAAAGTAGGTGGCCAGTTTATGCTTTGTCTTAAGGAATTTTGTATCTCTGACTGTAAAAAAGCATACACTGAAACCTGTTAGAATTCTGTAACTCCTGATTGTTACTCAAGCCTTCAGTGTGTTATATTTTTCCTGATGTCTATAATGATTTCTCAACGTTTCTGTATTATGATTTTGCACTTCCCCATTGTTCTCACCTTCTTACCCATTCTGAACCTCATTCTCTACCCTGCCCTGTGTATGATTCTTACCCCATAAAACACTTTGTGCATGTTCTGTTTCTGTTTTCCTTGTAGACAGTTTTTTGTACTGCTACCCTATGGCACTGTTGTGTTAGGGGTTTCCTTTTGCTGTAAATAAAACTGTTGAGTGCTTGATTGTATGCTTCCACTGGACCCTAGTCATTCCACGCAGATCTGGAATCCTGACACGTGGGAGATTAGTACACTAGGCTTATGGCTGTTTGCATTTTCTCTGTTAGGGACTGAAATGCTTCCAGTCTATGGGCCATTCCGTGGTTTTCTATTTTTGTTGAGATTCTTGTCCAGATTGGGACCAATCCAGTCTCTGTAGTCTAGAATAATTTTTCTGGTGTCCTATCTCCTCTGGGAGACTTGTTTCTTCTGAGTGCTTTGAAAGATGCTTTCATTTCACTTATTAATATTGTCAGTTCTTCCTCAGAGTATTCTTCTTCAAAGAAGTCTGTCATGTTTTATCCTGTCTTCATAGTTCTTCCATATAATGCTTCCGCCTTCTTTTTCTTTTACCCTAGTCAGTTAGTGTGTTCCGCTATTGGTCTTTTAGCATTCCTAATCTAGGTCTGAATTTCCTTCTGTTTTCTTGGCTCTTCTGGAAGAGGTATCTTTGTTTTTCTTCTTTTGTTGCTCTCTTCTGTTTCTTTGCATTGGCCATTTTCATAGTTCTTTTTGTCTGTGCACGATAGCTGTGATAATTGTGATGCTTGCTGAAAAGTTGTATTCAGGATTCCATTCCTATTTCTGTTACCTTTGCTTCTTACCTGACTTTAATGCATTTCTTCTGTTATCTATCTAGGCCTTCCCTTTCTCTTTGCTGCAGGAATTGCCTTTTTGTATTCTCCCCTAATAATATATTTAGCAACAAGTTACAATTTTATTTGTTGTCCCTCCTACACTTAGTCCACTTGATGATTAGCCATTTCAGCTGGGACTGGTCCTGTTCTCCTTTTCACACAGTATAAGTAAAGTTTAAGGAACTGTACTTAGAAAATCTGTAACCATCTAGCTTAAAGTACCAATGAAATCATACATTACTGTTTACTTTAAAAAGTACCTACTTAGAAATAAGCCCCGTGATTGTATGTAGGATGAATTACGTTGTTGCTATGGTGCTCTGCCATAATTTTGAGGGTGAAGTAGGAAAAGGGGGACCATTGCTAAAAAGGCCCTCTCTGGTGTACATACTATTCTAAACACCCTTGGTAGTGGGTAGGAGGGATCATTATTGATGACCTTAGAACAATGGCTGACTGGTAAAGGCAAAGACAGTCCTTCAAGTAACTTTTGCTCAAGCTATTGCCCATGCTAGAGACATTCAAAAAGAAACTGGGCATCCATCTGAGTGGGATGGTGTAAATTGGTGTCCTGCAACAGCAGAGGGTTGGACTCAATGGCCTTGATGGCCCCTTGCAACTCTACTATTATATGATTCTATGAAGGCTTTAAAAAGTTGTTATACAAGTCAACTGTTAAAAAATGCTGCTGTTCAATGCACAAAATGGGTTTCTGGGAAAGAAACATGCCATCCCAGCCATGGTCTGCTGGTGCTGCAATGAATGTGTATGTACAAATAATGCTTTGAAAGGTAAGTTCATTTCAAAATGCGGGATGTATCTCATAAAACATTGTATAATTTAGATGACATTCAGGTTGCTTCTAGCTGAAATAATCTATTTTGTTTCCATAGTAACAGGACTCTAGCATAAAGGAACTGAACATTAAAGGAATTTGCAGTGGCTTTCAGTTATGCTTTAACTGGACAATAGAAATTGATTAGCTGAAGGAACTTATTGCAAAGTCTGCAGATTCTACTGTACTGGTCTTCCTAGGGGTGCCAGCAGAATATACTAGAGCTGACTATCAGGCAACACAATCAGGATAGGAACACAGGAAGCTGCAAGATAGGGACCTGGCTCACACTCAATGATAACCCACCAATATAAAAAGCAATGGGTTGTTGTGGATGAGTGGGAGCTCCGCCTGCAGTATGCTTACATCTTTCACTTTATACAGCAACCAATGACTGATTTAGCAACGCATGATCTATTCCTGCTGCTCATGACATCTGAACCTAGACTGCTTGGTTATTTACAGGCCAAACAACTTAACTGTTAACCTGTGCTTTGTTGTTGTGTTGACCAATTTTAATCTGATAGGTTGTTGTTATCATATGAAGAGCTCCATTAATCAGGCCCTTGTTCCATGTAGCCAAATATTCTTGTTACTAATTGGCAGTGGCTCTCCAAGTTTTCAGGCAGGAGTTTTTCCATCCCTTAATGAGAGAGATGGAGGACTGAACCTACAGCCTTCTGCATGCAAATACTATTTTTGGTGGAACTGGATTAAATTTGCAGGTATTGTCA